TATATATATATATATATATATATATATATATATATACACGATGAATTTCGAAAAAAATATTTAACATTGTGAAATTGTTACCAAGTATCCCTGCTATCGATCATTTTATCCTTATTTTCATTAGTCTCGTTATTATCTTCGTTGACTTTGTCTATCATAACTCTACACATCTTGTTCATGACCCTTGTACAAGTATGAAAAGATTATAAGAACCACATGTAGCATTCATAATCGTCATCATAAACCTACGATTAGTCACCTCGCCCATATAGCCACTGTCGTGCTCACCCGTGGCTCTCGCACGAGAGAATAGAGGACGCGAGGGCCATCATCGTCTTTGCAAATCCTGTCAACCTCATTAGATCTGTTATTATCTCTACACATGCAGGAGGGATCCGACAAAAGTCGATAATAGCTCTTACACTCTCTCCTTCCTCGTACGAGAGTCATGAGTGAGCATAACAAAAATGGTATAGAGATGATGCAAGATGGAAGTGATGATGGGCTCGATAAGAATCATTACTAAAATGATTATTTACAAAAAAAAATAGGATGTTCTACAAAAATTTTGGGACACTCAGTCAAATATTCTCAAAATCATATATATATATATATTAAAAAAATTCTTGAGTGAGATGAAGCCAGTTGTCTTGAGGAGGGTCAATAACTTTGGATTGGTGCAATCCATTTTTTTTACCGTGAATTTCTTAGAGTTCTCAAATTCGAATGCCAACCATGTTCTTTTTGTTGTTCTTGATGACGAGTAGAATCGATTCAGGGGGACCAAATATATATATACCCTTAATAGAACTTGAGCATCCTAGTATGAATTGATGATGAACTGAATCAAATCGATTCCTATTGGCCTGTATCAGCTCCATTCCACTTGAAATGTAATCATGCTCTCTGGTCATCAAGTCTCAAAATCATATAGCTGACAAATTTCTATTCGCCATCAAAACAATATGATCCAGTTCAAGACTGATCTAGCATGGAACTGCTCTGTTCTCCGATGCGAGTATATCCCAGAAACAGAATCTTAATGCTGGGAAGAGTAAGACCAAGTCGGGCATGCAATGGAATAAAGTACAGGCCGGAGCATATATCTTCCACCTCAGACCTTTGTTTACATTACTGTTGATCTGGGGATTCACGTCCATGGATCTGTTCTTAGCTCATCATTCCAGTTCTCAGTTAGTTAAATCTCTATTCACTTTCAAGGATCTTCTCTCCCTGAAGACCACTTTTGCTAAGTGTTCATCACCAATTACAGCAGTAGATCGACAACTCAGGCCTCAGCCATGGTTATTGTATTTCAATTGAAGACGAGGAAGACTGACGTGTGAAATCAATTACGAGGAAAAATACAATTTCAAGAAATTATCTAAAAGATAGAAAGTTTTAAGACGATGATATTACCAGCACTCTAGCAACATTTAACAAAAAGAACGATTCCTATTTTGTCTTCAAGATGAGAATGCCATTTACTCTTCCATACATGGCAATCAATTGCATCTAAGTTATCCAGAGCCAGAGCGTGTGTCCCTTTTCCCCATACTTTTAGAGGATGGCGTATTTATATACCAATGTACAAAAGTTCAAATTAGTGTATGCAAAGCCACTATATGAAGGACGAAGAATAGAAACCGATTCACGTGTGTCAGGCCCCACCCACACACATCATGAAAAAAAGGACCTCCGTAGCAGCTACGAAATTCTTGACCGAGCTTTTAAATGTTGACCAATAATTCCTTTGATGATATGATCGTGTGGCTCACGTATTTGAACCAATTACATAACACTAGGATGCTAAATGAAGTCGTCTCAAATGCAAATATTAATATGATCAAAAATCTTGCCTAGGACGAATGTTAAACTCCAAGCATCGTCATAATAAAAATAATAATGATTCCATGCTGAGCAGGAACGAAGGAAATGGTGCCTTAGAAAGGCGACATTCCTTCTCCGGAAGAGCTTCACATGATCACATGTGCACTGGATCCAAAACAATCCCACACTACCTTATTCTAATCCCAACATCGTCTGAAAGACTCACAGATACATTCCTCTTTCTAACTCGGATGCATTAAATAAAATGGAGAGAGAGAGCGAGTGAGAAATCATTACAGAGGCAGAGTAAGGCTTCATCTTTCTGTTTTAAACCGCTTCGACTTTTGCAGTGAAGTGCGCTTCCAAAGTTTCCATGGGAGGAGAGGAGGCCACCTGGAAACAATCATGCCATGCATCAGGATCAGCGTGGGAAATGATGGAGCTTTCTTTTAATTGTCGTTATAGCTTCCCATCCCGTCCGCGGTAACCTCACCCTCATGATTTCCCTCACCGACACTTTCGTTTACGAAGAGAAGAAACAGACATAATTACTAATTAACAGCAATGACAAAAAATAATAACAAAACGGCAATTGCATCGCAAAAGCCGTCTGATCAAGATGTAACGGATGGGAAAAATAAGGAAAATATGGTGGATGGGAATTGATGAGATGGATAACGAAGGAATACGGTTTCCTTTTTATTCTCTCTCTCTCACTCTCTCTTTTTTTCTTCTCCTCCCTGTTCACGGGGTCAACGGAATCCACTCGTAGCGGCCGGCCAATGGCACGTCCTTGACGACGTCGAAGTTGTACCTGCGTCGCACCGGAAAAGGCTCGGGTTAAGGAATTAAGGTCGAGAGTCGCTAAACGAAACCGGCAGAGCGGGAGGAATATGAGGGGGTTTACCTCTCGACGAATCGCCGTCGCAGGTCTCTCTCTGCCCCCGCGAAGAACTCCTCCAGCTCGGCAACGGAGGGTGTTGCAATCGCCGTCGATCTTCTGCGCGATCCCATCTCCACCGTTGATTCAAGATCACTCGTCGCTTGTCCGTCGTTACTCGAGGCGGCCGTCTCTTCCCTGAATAAAAATTCGAAAGAATTTGAACTAGAACATGGAAATTAAGATAAATCGATGGAAAACCAGCAAAATCGAGAAAGAACGGGCAAACCTTTCTCCATTGCAGCGGAAGAAGGTCGCGTCGTCCAATTCCTGGCCAAGCTGACGAGACAGAGCAGACAAGGTAAGAATTGTAGTTCATGGGGCACAAAGAAACTCGAATTCTAAGAGAATTTTGTAGTACTGCTCACCTCCGATGATCGAAACGGCGTCTCCGCTGCCTCACAGGAGGCGTCGCTGGAGGACCGGGAGATGAGACTGAGTTCAGGGCTTGAATTTCGCCGGCCGCCGGAATTCGCCGCGGATCTAGCGATCCGAGGTTTCAGGACGACGCTGCAACTTCGGAGCTCGAGGTTGGAGATCTGGTGGTATTCTCCCGTCGCTTTCCTCTTCTTCGAGCTCCGGCGGCCGTCCAACGCCGCGAGGGCCAGCCTTCTCGCCGTCCTCGTCCTCGCACCCATCGGCTTCGTCGCCTCCATCACCGCGAGTTCCCCGATCTGTCTCCTCTTGCTCGAATGCTTCCCCATCCCGCTCTCTCCCTCTCTTGATCAGTCGTAGTATGAGATGCGATGAAAAGCGCGGAAGTCATGAACAGATCCGAGTTGACGGCAACGGGTCGGATATAAAGGCGGTCGTTGCGTGAGACACGCTCTCCCCTTAAACGGAGAAGTCAGTGACAAACGGGGCCGTCACATCCGCTTCCCGTTGACGCTGGGGCCCAAAAGGCGAGCAAACCGTCGAGGGACGCGTGGACACTCTCATCGATCTCCCGTCAGCAACAAAACCGGTCGGGCATCTCCCTGAGCCGGTGATCCTTTCGTTGTACCCCGGAGCACACAACCGGCGGTCGGCGGTGAGTTCCAGGTGGCCTGCCAAAAACACCATAGTCGCATGATGAAAATTACGATCCTAGCACTTCAGTTTGATCTTCTACCGTACGTTTACGATCGAACGACTGGTAGATCGGGATTCTAACGGATGCGACGGACGTTAACGCCACGGAGGCGCAATTATCACAGGTCAGGTGTACGAGATAAACGGTCCCAAAAGCCAGATTTAACGTCGATAAGACGCTCCCGCGTCTGCTGGCCGTCGCTCTCATGATGAACGAGATCGGGACGTCCACGTGGCCAAGAAGGCCGGATCGCACGTTGTGTTAACTGAGGTGGGGGGGGTGACGTAGCAATTGTTCCACCGAAGGAATCTTCTCTTTTGGAGTCATTAACAGCAGCCGCCCATCCGTTCTGACGCGGAGGGGGCCGGTGGTACAATGGCTGTTGTGCGGGCCCCGAGAGGTCGGGACAATCGGGGTCCACAAGGGTAAGGACAAAAGAGTGGATGACCCGGAGGGTATGCCAGGTGGTGTTGAAAAAGCGTGTACGTACGGGAAGAAATCGAATGAGGGGCGCGAGGAAGGGCCCGTGCGATCCGAGATGAACGGTTGGATGGAGCCAAGGGAGGGGGAATTGTAGGTTAAATATAAAAATTGATAGCCACGTATTTTTGGCTGCGGTAAGCCAGCAATGATTATTTTTCTTTTTCTTTTTCTTTTATTCCAACGATGATTATTTTTTTCCCATTTAATTATAGTGCCCGAACAATAATCCTGTGGACGGTACAATTAACCTATGTGGAATGAACATTTTTCTCGAATTATAGGTTTCTTTGTTAAATAAATAACACTCTCACATTAAATATTTTCATAAATTATTATAAAAATACGTTAATTGTTAAGACAAAGAAGATATTACTCGAGAAATAGTAAATAAATTATTTATTATTACTTGCTAAATTTGAAAGTGGACCAAAAAGATAAAGATTAGTGTTGAAAATAATCTCTTTGAAATTGAGATAAGGTTTTTTTATATTAACCTTCCTTCCTTTTGCAAATTGGATTTGCTATTTTCTTTCTATAATCATGTCCGAATACATATAAGTCAATTATATTTGAATATTGATCGATCGTTAAATAATTTATTTTTATCTTTAATGATCATCTAAATTAGCGATCACGTCGGAAATACACCCAATAGTAATTTTTTTTTGACAAAATATAGGGTTCAAAGTCTCTAATTGAGATTCCACCTTCATATCCTATTCAAAAGACACAAGCATTATTACTGGAGATTGTCTCATTTTAATTTTGAAGATAACCTAACCTTAGTTCGAAAAACAAACTATATCAACTCGATATGAGCATGAGCACATATCATTTTCATATTACCTCTCACACATCTTCTATTCTGTCATAAATAGCTGCGTTTGTCTTCTTCCTTTCTCTCCCTTCTTAATGTTATCATAAATAACTATCACTTTCTTCTTCCTCTTACAGCCTCCATCCCTGTCTTATTTTGGTTGCAAATATACATCCAAATAATTAGACCTTCAACTACTATTTACATTCATTTTTCAATCGCAAGCACCAAATTATTCCCTTCATTAACTTTCTAAGACTAACAACCAAAACCTAAGGGAGTCGAAAAGGTCACCAAGCTGTCAATATTCACACCCTAAGCAATAAGTATAGCATCAAAATCACTATTAAATAAATTATGTCCTATGCATAAATTTAATATTTTGAATAAATTAACCATGATCAATAATTTGTCTTATTATGAATATATATTTATATATAGTTTTAGATTAATCAAAGTAGTAAGCACAGGAATGACAAGTTAAACACTGCACGAGGACAGTGAAGTCAGTGCACTCAAGTGGTAAGAATAATAGTGCACAAAGGACAGCGAAACCAATGCATTCAAGCAGCAAGCATAATGGTGAACAAGGACAGTGAAATTAGTGCACTCGAGCAGTGAGCATAATAGTGCACGAGGACAGTGAAATGGGTGCATCCATCTGTGGTGCTGCTCGCAGAATGTACACACACACTATGTACTTGTTCGGCATGCTAATGCAGAGAGACGATCAGAACCTAATTCACATGCACAGCGATGTCGTCAACACATAGTCCTCCAAGAACTCCATTTGATGTGAGAATCTGACAGTCTTTGCTTCAGATTTTAGAATGGAGTTGTGCAGATCTAAATCCTCTCTCTCAAAACTACAGAATTAATTCTGCAGCATGAGAACTACTGGCAAACTGTTCTGACCTTCTCTGACCATGTTTTCAGCCCACCTTTATCTTTCCCCCTCCCCCCCCCCCCCACCCCTTTTTATACCGAGGAAAAGTGGGTATCGAGCAGAAAAGTCATGCAGCCCACACTGTGGATTATGGATTTCACCAAACCTCACCCTGGACCATCCACTGTAAAATGAACTTTTTCTTTTTACTCGAACAAAGGATAATTCTGCATGTATACATATATGTATAGCAATGGAAAAGAATCAGAGACAGGACAAGTATTCTCATCTCTTTTTCATCAAAGAGTAGCTAAAAAAACATCTTTTGCTTTGCTAAAAGCATACAGCAGATGAGGAATTTTGGCTTTTGTTGATGTTGTTTTGGCATTAAAAGCTTGAATGTGTTCTGTTGATAGATGCATATTCTTGTGTGAGGGTGTCTTGCATTTCATCATCATCATCTTCTTCTTCTTCCTCTTTTCATCCGTTGCATGGATAGTATCCTTTCCACAGCATCAAGGGAAAAAGAAGAAAGAGAGAAGACATAAAAGAAGAGCTTGGCCCTGCCTTGCATGTCCAGAACAATCGGGCAAATCATGTCCAATTTGATAGTGCAATCAATGGCGCTCCCGTGGATCCCCACCACCTTGGCTTGCCTGGGAAATGGTCGACCTGGTTCGAAGGCCATCCTATACAAGAAAGGACAGAGCACTGTTAGATCCAGATGGCAATCGGAAGTGGAGTCTGTTCGATGACCACAGTGTGTGTGTGGGCTGAGACTTCACGTAGAACAACACAGGGAAAGGTTGTCGAGGACAATGGAAGCTTTGAGAGCATGGATGCACATGGACGAAGTGGGCACGGACGACAAGGCCAATTAGACCCCTTGGCTAAAGGGCTCATCCCTTTCAGCAGGATTAGGTTTGCTGCGCAAAAGGACCACAGGCGCCATGGCTTTTATCCCGCGAGACTACAGTAGTCTTCCTTGGGTGGGCTTAAGCAGACAAGGAGGCTGATGACATGGGGAGTGGACCACTTAATGCCAAAGATTGCATCTACAGCTCGTGTCGTAGTCCAGGGGGAAAAAAAGCCTTCTTTCATGCCCTTCTCCTCCTCCTCTTCTTTCTTTTCATTGCTGGGAGAGATACCCGATGGTTAGGTCACAGGATGTGGGGCTTCTACTTTGCCTTTCTCCCGTGGACAGTAATGTGATCGAACCCCGGGGGACCATGCGGTTGATAGAGATGGACGGGGAAGTAGATGCCCACCAGTGGCCACACTCGGAGATGCTTCAACCAATGAACACCTACAAAGAGGTGGTCGGTCTTCTTGCTGAACGCGATACTTAATAACGCTGATATCGCATGACATTTCGACTGTAAAATTTCAATCTTCGAGCTCATTCCATCTGCTGGGAGATGGACTTTCAGGGGAATCGCCTACTGAGATCTTTGGAAGTTCCAAGATCTCGGATCACTGTACATGATTCTACTCTGCATGTGATGTGCTCCAAGGAAATTATGAGACCCCTTGTGGTCCTAGGAAGGATGTCGCAGCCTTTATCACCTTTTTCCTGCTAAAGGTGGTAGGAACTTCCCTAGCTAGCCTCCCTGATGAGAAAGATGTGAATGAGAGCTCCACTCATCATGCATGATCCATACAGGAAAAAGACAGGAGTGGGGATGGGGAGCACTGAGGAATCTCAAAGCTTTTGGAGAGGGGACCTGACCAGTGCGAGAGAAAGAGGTGCCATGGGTTTGGTTTACTTTCATGTCCTCAGAAAAAGCTCTGTTAGTGCTCCGGTGGTCCTCCTAACGCCAAGGGCCTCCATCTGAGGTCTCGAGCAGTGTTGGCTTCGAGTCGTGCTTCATGGATGGAACACAAGCCCAGAGAGAACAAAAAGAGTGCAACAACACAAGAATCTCCACCATGGCTCCTCGAGCTAGATAGTTGATGCCCACAGATAGACTGTTCTCGGTTATGGCCAAATGCAGATCGTAGATTCGTTCTATGGCCGAGGGAAAGTGCTGATTCTTGTTGTTGGGTTTCGAGTTTGGAATTCTTCTGCAGAGCTACTCGTGGCATGATGCATGCTCCAGCGATGCCGGCCGAACTAAACAAAGTTTGTAGCCCAAACATCAACCGAGAAGAATGGTCTTGAACGCTATTTCCTCGGGTTTTTACCACGATCGTAAGCTTGGGCTCATGACAATGTTGATCTCTGGTCCACTGAGAAAGAAATGAAGTGCAGAGCTTATATGGATCACATGCTTCGTGACAGTCGACGCCTCTCTTGGACAAGAAAGAGGAGGAGAAGAGACGTGTCTTCGAGATGGCTCATGAACCGGGAGAACTTTTGCCGCAAGTGCCGATGTTATGGTGGATTCAGAGCCATATGTTGTTGTACAAGGCAGAGCTATCCTTGTCGACGGAGAGGGACAGGATGAATTCTTTTCCGGTTTCTTCAGATTCGATCAAATGATGATGTAATTCCGTTCGCATTAACTGCAGCTCTCGAGCTGCCACTGTTATTTGCACTTGATCATGTCAATATGCCATTATTCTGCAGAGGAGGGGAATTCTCTGAGGCTGACAATGGCCACCAGAATGCCATATTTATTGACTGTGATGGTGCTGCGGCTTCATGTTGTCAGCTTTGGTTAGATCAGGCAAAGTGTGCAAAAAGAACCAGAAATTGTAGAATGCAGGTGAGTTCGAAGAAGGAATCGCCTACCGGTGCACTCCTCGATCTCGTTCATGATCAACGAAAGAGAAGATCAAACGAAGGGCTTCTCAACTTGAACGATTAATAGAAAATTATCATACGACGATTGGAGGAGACATATAAGGAAGGAATGATAATAAATCTCATTATATATATATATATATGTATACAATGTCGACAAATACAAATACTCTTGTTGTAGTACATTATGACCATAATTAGATACATGTATTGTGTTACATCGAACGATTTCCATTTCACATAAATGACACAATGCATGTGCAACAAACAGACACTATTCGTCTCTGTCTCGGTCCAATCCGAGCCCAAATTAAGACGTTTGGTCGGCCCAAATTTCTGAATCTTATGCTCATTAATCGATTCCATAATCTCACTATCAAGGCTATGATCGATAAAAACACATAACCAATAAAGACGAGTTAGGACATTATTACTTGTCGTTACTGCGTATTTGGCCAGCAATGTCCACCAAGTCGAGCCAAAAACGCTTGATAATATATAATATTATCATTAAAATAAATATGATATAATTTAGTAAATTATAAATAGACACTGATCACTATCTATTATTTTATTAAACGTAATAATGTAGCACCCAAATAGATAATTCCACTCCAATCGTTGAGTGTGGATCTTTATCTTGGATCCGTAACTGTTGGATCCGACCCGACTCCGAACCCGCACGATTCCTTGTGTCAAATATCTCCCCATCGCCTCCCCTCTTGTTCACGAAGGCTGATGATGGAGTCGATGCCGGTGAATTGGGAAGCGCTTGACTCGCTCGTCGTCGATTTCGCCAACTGCGAACGCCTCTTCTTCCTCGACTCCTCCTCCTCTCCCCCGACCTCCCCGCCAATCTCTCCTTCCTCCTCCTCCTCACCCTCCTCCACTCCCATCCCATCCTCCTCCTCCTCCTCCTCCTCTTCCTACCGCTCGCGCCTCCTCATTCGCCAGATCCGACGGTCGATCGAGGCCGGCGACGTCGATGCCGCCATCCATCACCTCCGACTCCACGTGCCCACGGTCCTCGATGATCGCCGCATCCTCTTCTGGCTCCAAAAGCAGGTAACGTTAGGCTTCAACAAGTCATCCTTTTGTGATTATTTGTTTATTCGCTGTGGACGGTTTGATTAATTGCGGCAATTTCGTATATTTCTAGAAATTTATCGAGCTTTTGAGGAGGGGGACCGAGAGAGATCGTGATTTGGCCATCGAGTGCCTTCGCGTGGCTCTTGCTCCTTGTGCCCTCGATGCATACCCGGTAATTTTTTGTCTTGATTATCCTTCAATAATTGTTTTCTTTGACCCTCATCGTGTGTTATCTTTAAAATATTTTATTAGTTAGGGCAGGGATGTTATGAGGATTACTGGGTGGGTACTGCACATTTGGAAGTTAAATTGCTTTAGTTTGTATACATTGGGTATTCTTGCTATTGATTCTAACATATGTTTGAACACTTTGTTGTCCCCAATTTTGTTGTTGCATACTGGAACTGCATAATTGTGGCTGTTTGAGTATATAATATGAGGCTCGAGGGTTGCCTAAATTAAGATAAGTAGCAGCTTTGCCTACCTTTGAGATATTGATAGTTGAGGATTCTACATGTTAGATATTAAATGTACTCTGCTGCTTGTACACATGGGAGTTTGGCATGGTTCATGTTGGCATAGTGCTTGTGGGTTAGGATCAAGTGCCATCTATTGCTGACATTCATAGCATGCTTGTTATGATTGATTAGAAAGATAAACATGAGCATCATTCGATAACTAGAGTAAATTTTGTATGAAAACATTTATCTTTTACTGCCATCTTGTTGTTATTATGCTTGTTCATCGATAAAAGTCAGACTTATTGAAAAGTTTGAAACATGGCATATATGTTTAGTCATCCTAGTGAAGAGATAACTATGCACAAGTTGCTCAAAAATTCAAAATCTTTTAGGTTTGCTGCACGTTGTTGATATGTAATAGCACCTGTTATCTTTTCTAATGTTTAACACATGTTTCATATCCATGCTTTTTGTTTTTAATTCTGTATGTTTTTACATGTTTATCCATTCTGTAGGAAGCTTATGAGGAGTTTAAACATTTGCTCTTGGCATTAATATTTAATAAAGAAGATCAAAATTCTCCTGTGGCACATGAGGTAATTACATTAATCCTTTCTTGTTACACAAGAAATTTGGTCGTAATTTATGTTTTTTTTATTGTCAAGAGTTATATCTTCGAGAAAACTTTGTGTTGTTTTCACATGTGTTATGGTTTGTTATTTGGAATATCCACCATACCGTTGCAAGATGCGATGATTGTGAACAGCACCAGCGCACCTCTTATTCAGCATCTTTATTCCTTTCATGCTCACCTCATATGTTGTCAACGTCTTCAACTCAAAACTTGTGCCTCATCTATTAAGGAAATTAAGGAATAATTGACATGTTAGCCTACTGGGTTCTCTTCAAGATTTGTGCCTTACGGTATCACTGATTGAATTTTTTGAAATAAAAAGTTGTTGAACTATTTGCATTTTTGGAGAAATAAACTTCAAATATTAAGATACTACAGACAGAAGCCAACCATTTATTCTTTCTGAAATATCATTAGTTGTAAAAATTCTCTGAGAGTTCGAGTTTCTTTGTTTTTTTCCACTTTGTCTGTGAGGTGGTAAAACATTAATTTAACAGTAAGAATAATATGGAAGGATCTCCAGTACAGTTTTGAAAATCAGATTTTTGCAATTTGAGAGGTATATATCCAATTGGACATGCATAGTTGAACTTTTTCTTGGTCCTTACCTACAAAATGATTCCTGGAGCATGCTTGCAACATTGTATATTATGTTCTGGTAGTCCAGGTTCATATTGGTATGAGATATGGTTGTTTTGCATTCATATTCATAAGATATATTTCAATATTAGCGGATTAGTGCAGTGCAACCTTATTTAATATTGCAGCTTGGCGTGTCATGGATAAAAGTCATAGAAATATTCATTCTACTTGCTGGGTTAAGACTCCGTAAATGAACCCTAGTTATACCTTTCTTTACTGGGATCCTCGTGCACTAGACCGCCATTTTATATGCATTGCCATATGTTAGAAGAATTTAATATTCAGATTATAGTTTAGGCTGAGTGCATGATTCTTCAGAGTTATGTAGTCAAATCTTATATCCATCTCATCTTATTTTTAGTTTGTACACCATGTGATCGTTGGGTTCTCATATTGATTTGATCCATATATTGGGTTGTAAGGGAATTTAATGCAAGAATGTGCATTTACTGGTGGGAGACATTCCAGAATTCTAGTCGAAGCTAAATGTAATTGACGAGATTGGTTCCATGTACAATAATGTATGAACTTGTCAAACAGTTTTAGTTGATATGCTATCCCCAGGTTCAAGGCTTTGTCATGTCATCTACACTGCAAATAAAGTCTTGGACCAATGGGTTTTTTTTTCTGTTGAATATGACAGGTTTTCAAGCATAGAATATTGTATATAGCACTTATGGGTTGCTCATGCCAATCCTGATGACCCATTCTGGTTGTCATGTACCATGTTGGCATGGTATCTTCTAAGGAATCACTTCTCTTATTCTAAGGTTTCTCTAGTTCAAAGAGAGACACAATCCAAGGGTATAATTAAGGATAACCGCACTACTATACTAATGGAAATCACTGATAAGTACAATACAAAATATAAAAAAGATGTCCAGGCATGTCTTTGGGGCTTGCAATCTCTCTTATATATGATATTCTAATAACAAAATTTCTAACTGATCTAGACTAATATTAAAAGACCAATATGTTATTGAATATCACTGCTGCATCATCCTTAGTTTAATACCCCGATTAGGAGTTTCCAGGCTATGGGTGGCTCTCTGGAATTGGGTGATCAAACATAGAATTATGATCCCTTTCCGGTTGATGATAGGAGTTGGAAATACCTATTTTATGAGTTGGATATGGAGGCATGCAGGATGTGATATAGCAGACAACATTGTGACAGCTCTCTTGCTAAGGCACACCCTTTCCCCAAGCTTGTGTAGCTAATTTCTGCTACAGTTGCATCCAAGATTAGACAAAATTGAAGTCTCAAACCAACTCTGTTATGGTCTGACATCTTTAGCTTTGAGCTTAAATATACTCTCTTTATGTTTCAATCTCATTGTATGGTGAGGAAGTCACACTTAAGTTCGTTAGTGTGATCCACAAGCCATCACATGCCTAGTATGATGCTGATACCATCCATATCAATCTGTTCCTACCTCGTACTTTTAGTGGAACATGGTTGCATCTTCTTTGACATTCAAACTAGCATCCATCTCCCAAAAAGATATCAAAGGTTAAAATTGTCTCTACTTTGAGCTTCAACTTCTGAAGGAAATCAAGGTTGTTGAAGTTATAGGTTAAGCTTTTATTTATCGGCATGCTGAGTAGGTAGTTGTTCACAGAAATTAGGCTTTTCATGTCCTTCAATTCTGGAGGTTCTCTGGACTAAGCATGTAGAGATACCTTTTGGACATTCTTTGGTGGAGATGTCAGATCAATTTAAAGTTTTCCTGTTCTTCATTGCCCTGGTTAGCCTGATATTAACTATGGTTTAGTGTCCACTTTTCGTCACAATGGAAACATAGACTTTTGCTCTGTGCTCAGTTAACTCGATGGTTGTTGGAGTTCTGGTTGCCATTGGCTTTGATGTTGTGGAATTAGCTGACTTTACTATCAGGGTATGGATTCCACCCTTGGTTTAAGGATTGGCCTACCTAACTTCATTGTGTGGTGTGTTTGAGAATAACTTACCTTTGATTTTGAGGTATGAAGTAGTCTTCTAGTATGATAGTCATTCTATGATTCCGGCCTCATCAAGACCATCAAAGTAATGTAGTGGGCTTGGCTAAACTTTATTGTTAACATGATTGTTGGGGTCACCAATAACATGATTGGCCAGGATACTTGAGACAGGTCAGGTAGCATATTGCTGATGTTGTCAAACCCTTTCTAGTATCCCAAATCAAATTCTAACTGAAACAGCTATACTACCTGTAACATTAGAGTTGGGGTTTGCTGGTTAACCATGTGAATTCTATTGCAGTACTTTTTGATTTTAAAGATAAATTTCTGTAAATGCTACTGCATAAATGAGAATGTTTCATGTGAATCAGTGGTCTGAAAGAAGGAGATTTGACCTTGCTGGACTGCTATCTTCCATTCTAAGAGCTCATTTACATGCCTATGATCCAGTTTTTTCTATGACTTTGAGATATTTAATAAGGTATGTTTCTGGGTCTCTTTTTTTTGGATTTGCAAAAGAAAATCTTTCTTATTTCTGTGAACTCTTTAACCTGCAGCAGCTCTGTGACCTTAGCACCCATTTATGTGCAGTATTCATAAAGTATTTTGCTGCCGTCAAGGTGTTTCATCCCCTATATCAGATCTCACTGAGCGATTGCTTCTAGAGGATAGGGACCCTTCAGCAACCCCTCAAGAGAGTTTGTATGAGGCACCTCCTTTTGATGAAGTAAGCAACCGCCTTGGTTATTACTTCGTCTTTAAAAAAATTTCTGGATGTGTTTTATGTTTTAAGTGATAACTCTCAGGTTGACATTCAAGCCCTTGCACATGCTGTGGAGCTGACAAGACAAGGAGCAATTGATAGCTTAAGATTTGCTAAAGGGGATTTATATCAGGCATTTCAGGTTATTTATTACCGACATGTCATTGCATCTTTCTATCTTCATACGTTGTGTATTTGATGAATATATAGTTTTTTCCCTATAGAGTTTTTATTGCAGGCATTGTACCTATAAAAGATAGGATGAAGTACTTGCACATCTTATGTCTTATTTTGGTAGCTAAGTCCTTCAAAGTTCAATCAATTACATTTTGCTTGAATCTGGTAATTCTTGCAACCAAGAATTGCCTTCTCTCTATTTATGTCATTCCTTTCCCCTGACAGATTGGTGTTTACATTACTATTCCATACTGTCATGGAATGTCATGCGTGCTGGTGTCAAGAGGAGGCTCTTTGACACAGTCAAAAAGAGAAAAATTAAAAGGAGAAGACTCAGATTATTACTCTGAAACAGGAAACACATGAAAACATTGACTTATCTGTTCTTTGGGCTCTTTGATAACAACTGGTGGTGGCCAAGAGTTATAGGTAGTTATCTGTTGAGGTGTTACAGCGCTCAGGTTTGACATGGGAAAGACATCAAGGAATGGAGTGACATGCCTAGGTGGTCAGGTTGGCCAGCAAGTACAGAGATGATGGGATCAGAGTGTGTGTGTGTGTGTTGAAGGAATGTACAGAGAGCACACTCTACATGACACAAATATATGGCTCCATGTCAGAATCAATTGAAACATGATTTTTGGCTGAAACAAGCTGACGTTCTTGTTTTTAGGTTTGGGCACTGAAGTTAAGATTGCCATGTAGCATTTACTACATTTTTAAACTGTTATGCTTTGCTCAAAAGGTTACACCTGTTCATCATGATGATTAAATTGGGCGATTTCTGAAGCAATGATTTATCTGTTAGGTTATTTTGCCGACATTTGCCCTAGAATTCCAAAGTTTTAATTTGTTCTCTTCTTTATGGTATCAAAATTTGAAGTCAATAATTTGGGATTCCTAGTGAACAAGCTGTCTAACCAGGCAAACATGATGCTGTCCCAATTGCCTAATCTTTCTAGCTAATCCTCTATTAGCATTGACAATATTCCTTAGGTCCAGATATGCTTATAATCGTACACACCAGAACACATTTGTGAATAAATTGGATAAAATCACATATAACATATTTGGAAATACTTGGTATAGAAAAAAGGTATAATAGGAACTAAGATGCATACTGGCAAAGGCTTAGTACTCAAATTAGAAGACATAAGATTTGTATAGTTTTCAAGTTAAAGAATATTTCTCAATTATGTTTTAGTTAATAAAATTTTTGAGTTACCATGAGAAGAAGACACCACAGGCGTTCGCCTTGCACACGGAAGCCGCTGGTCAGAGGCTATCTGAGGGGGTGACAACGAAGGAGGAGGAGGAGAAAGAGAGGGGAAGGGTCAGTTAGAGGAGGACAACGCTATCACTGTTTGTTGGAGAGGAAGACAATGGCACCGTTGTTGTTCACCGAAAAGGAAGACGAATCTACCTCTGCCACAATTCATTAGAGAGGAAGACATCGTTGTCGCGATTAGGTTTCCCAAGGGGCAAGCACTCGATCGTGTGGGGTGGGTGGGGGTTAAGATACATTGACTTTGGTCCAATTAAACCAGAATCAAGTAACTAATACATTTAGAACCATGTGGGTTAGGCATTTTGATTTTGGTGGTTCTAGAAATAGACAAGAGAATATAGTTAAATTGGATGGACAAAAAATCTATTTAAGGAAAAGCTTTAGATATCTTGGATCAATTATTCAATAAGATGGAGAAATTGATGAAGATATTATTCATAGAGTAAAAACAGGATGGTTAAAGTGGTGAGAGGCATAAGAGTCTTGTGATCATCGAATATCTTTAAGATTAAAAGAAAAATTTTATTAAATAGTTGTGAGACCAACAATACTTTATAGATCTGAGTGTTGAACAGTTAAAAAAAAACATATACAAAAAGTTTGTGCTGCTGAGATGAGAATGTTGAGATAGATGTGTTGAGTTACTAGGAAGATAGGAAAAGAAATACTTTTATTCGTGAATAACTAGGTGCCGCTTCGATAGAGGATAAGATGAGAGAAAATCGTTTAAGATAGTATGGGCATGTGCTGAAGAGACCTTCGGATACGATAGTCAGAAGAAGTGAAATAATTAATGTAAGTGTTATAAGGAGAGATAGAAGAAGACTTAAAAAGACTTTAGTAGAAACTATAAATAAGATTTAAGCACTCTGAATTTAACTAAACATATGACTTTTTATGAATCTCAATGGCGACAAAAGATCCATGTAACTGAGCCCAAATAGTTGGAACTTACGGTTTTGTTGTTATTATTGTTGTTGGGTTAGGTGGTTCGATCAAACCAGAATTAAGAACCATATCCACACATCAATTGAATCAAGCGAGCACTTGGCCTGCCCAGTGCTTGGGCCTAGGCACGCATCTAAGCTGTGCCTAGTTGAAGGCGCTCTCCTGGACCTATTCGCAAGTGCTCGGGCCTTGCCTTGCCTCACCTTGCCTAGGTGTGTACACGAGCGCCCGAGCACCCCGTGATTTCCTTGGAAAATCTTAGGAGATAGCTTTGCAATTTAATTCTGGTTATTAAATGGAAAATGAGCATGTGAGATGCAGATTTTGACGGGTTAAATTTCTTACTGCAGACTATGTATGCTATATATAATGGAAGAGTAAGATGACATTGAGATTGTTGAGGGAAAAATTACTCTTGTCCAGGTGAATTCTCTAATGTTAGATTTGGAACCAAACTGTCATATTAGAATAAATAATCTCTATCTATTTCATTGTATGTATTTTCACACAGAGAAAAGGAAAACATATTGGTTAAATGGATGTATGGTATAGTATAAAAGAAAATTGTCGGGCAATAATTAGGTTTAGCAAGATCTGGCATTGCTTTTGTAAGGCCAAGAGCAATAGAAGCTATTCAAGCACCATGCTTTCATCTTGTGAAAAACTAAATAATTCATATAGAGACTTGGAAATCACACTTTTAACTTGCAGATTTTCATGGTTGTGGAAAATTGTATGGAAAAAAAAAAAGCTCGGGAGTTGGTTCTTGTTGGGTATGTGAAAACATTTAAGTGGAGGATACAGAAAATTTTATGGTGTCATAGAGAGAATTGGCAATCACTCTTTTTAGTTGCAGATTATTCATAGTCATGTAAAACTTGATGGGAAAAATTCACACTAATTGTCTAGCTGCTTAAGTATTATCACGTGAAAAGTAGTAAGTCCCTTTCTCGGGGTTCTTTTTTTTCATTCTTGTGTTTCATACAACGAGTTCTTTTATTTGTTTCCTTGAGTTGGTTCCTCAATAATTAGTCGTTATACCTATGCTTTTGGTTTTATAAATAGTTGTATTTGAGCTGTCATTTTTCATTTTTTTTCTACATCTTGTTATTCAATAGAAAATCTAGCTCACCTTTAGTTAGTCAAGAACCTCTGCAGTGGCTGCTGTTGTGATTTTACAGCTGCCTTGGTGGTTAAATATTTATTTAACACTACCTTACAGTCAAGGCGTAAGATGATGATGAAACCAGTATTGTGAGATCATAGCTTCAGCTATTGATACTATCAAGCCATTTGGTATCTGGATGCTGTCAATATTCATTGAGTTATGTTTATGTTTTTTACTGGATGATGGCTGTGCTGATCATATTTTGTATAGAAACTCATGGAAAATTAACTTCAACAATGAGCTTCAGTAATGAGAGGTTGACTATATGCTCTCAAGTATAATCTGTTATAACTCTGGAGCTATACATTAATAGTGATGATCATTATGTTCAAGCAGTCTGGAGATGTTGGAGTTGAGTATCACTGTAGATCTTCCACATTTGATATCTTATGCCTTTTCCAAGGGCTGAAGTTATCAACTGCCAATTCAACTGTGTTTATTTCATTGCAAGTTATGTCAACATGGTTGTGTATCGTTTACCTCAACCTCATACATGATATAAATAAGAATACCTTAAGAGGCTTGCTAGCTGCTGGATTTTCATATAGGAACTGAGTAGTCATTTCCAATGCATTATGTATCTGCCTTGGCACACAACCTCCATCCAGGCTAAGTATGCAGAATTTGTCAACTATGATGTTATGATTTGTGCTTAAGTTGTTTGTTTCCTTGATATCTTCTATTTAGTGAAACTCCTTAAGATAGTCACTGTTCCCTCTTCTTAATTATTTCAGAATGAATTGTGCCGGATGAAATTGGATCTTTCAATTCTTGACAAGCTTGTCCATGAGTACTGTGTTTATAGAGGCATCATTGATGGAGTTTCTAATTCTCCACCAGGTATAACATGATACGACATAGTCACTTTTAATTGTGAATACATTTGAATTGTGAGATCATCCTGTGGTATAACTATGATCTTGAACATAATTCATCAGGGGATTGCTCTTCAAACATAGAATGCACAAGTAGTAAACTCTCTGATGGTGAAACTTCTGTGAACAATGCTGATGCTGAAGGTTTTCCGGAATCTTATGCTGATGTCATAAGCATTGGTGAATCAAGATTTGCTAGCGAAGTGATTAACAATCATGAAAATTGCAGCATTAGTGATGTTAATAATCAAGAGACTTGTTATAGAAGGTTGAGAAGGAGCAGAAATTATTCAACGGGACATAGGAGACGAAAAAGGTGGAGGGGCCGGGTTGAGGAGCTGGAATATTCGCCACGTTCTTCTGTGCTGGGGATACCGAAACCAGAAGTTATGGGTTGGCCACCACGTGGTTCTGAGGATACAATTCAGGAAGAACTAGTAAGCTTGATTTTGCCAGAATAAATTTCCACATTTGCAGTTATAAGACTGGTAGCTGATTTTGTTCTCTTTTTCAGGACTGCAAAAACTTGTCTTTCTCTGAGAGTTTGAAAAATGTAGAGGATCATAAATATGAGATTATTTTAGAGATGAGGGAACTGGCTTGCAAGGGAATGGCTGCAAAAGTTGTGGAAGAAATAAATGCAATAGATCCAGACTTCTTTATCCAAAATCCTAATCTATTATTTCAACTAAAACAGGTGCAACTGTTGCTGTTTGTTCTAGTCGGTCATATATGTTCTCAATGAAGTTCAAAGGATCATGATGTTTTAATTTATGCATTGATGTCAGGTGGAGTTTCTTGCTCTTGTCCATAGTGGTGATCTTGCTGAGTCTCTCAAGGTCGCATGTACTCATTTAGGCCCTTTAGCTTCACAAAACCAAGATCTGTTGAAGCCTTTGAAGGAAACTTTGTTGTGTCTGCTTAAGCCTAGTGAAGATGCTTTTACAAAAGGGACTCCTTGGCCTATCCTTGCCACATCTCTGCAGGTGATTTTTTTTTTTTTGCTTCTTTATTTGGTTAATTAAAAGTTGCTGACTTATTTGCTTGTTTGTCAGTTTCTCTTTTCCTTTCTCTTTTGTCTATGCTTGTAAATTGAACAGAATTTGTACATTAAGTTCCATTTTCTTGTTTGGTTGGCTGGCTTATATAAGAGGGAAAACACCTTGGAGAAATATCCATGTTGTCTTTATTTGGAGTTATCTTTCTTGGTCATTTGTCATGATTTGACATTTCACAGTACATTGACTATACTGCTTGGTAAATGCAATATACTGTTTAAATACCAACATTAAATAAATCGTAGAACATTCTTGGTGTAAACACAATATTCCAAATACTTGAAAATATTTTTTTGAATGTCCTGATTGGTATGTATTAGTCTGGTAGGGTTCATTAGTGGTACTGGACTGATATAATTAATTTTGTAGTTGACTACTTGGAGAAAGATGCTGCTACTCCTGCTTTATCCAAACCATTGTGCCAATTAATGCATTTTTCTCTATGTACAGGTTGCAATGGGTAAGAAGTTTGGTATTGAAGAACCACAACTTATGAGGATAGTGAGAGCGACACTTCATACGCACAATGAGTGGTTTAAGTTTCAGATGTGCAAAGACCGGTTTGAACAATTCCTGAAAATAGATCAACTGAAAGATATTGATACTCCAATGTCCAGTAATCCTGCAGCGAAAGCATTGTTAGATGACACTGCAAATGGATCTCAGATCACTATATGTTCAAGTAGCAAGATGCAGGAAGATGGTGGAAGCCCACAAGCATCATCTGGCGAAAATGTTTGCGATGAAAATGCAATACTTAAAGTTATGGTAAGATTTAGTTCGGCCTTTTCTTACCTTTGATTTTGGAAAATGGTCCATTGGTTGGATATTGTTTGTATCTATTCTTGCAACTTCTCTGTTTTCCCATACTAATCTACACAATTTGGCATTGCCAACTGTAGCCATTCCCAAAACTGCAATTAACTGTAGGAGTTTTGGATGTCCATATACATCTCTTTCCATCTTTTGTATATTTGTCTTATGCTAATATTTTCTTATCAATCCTTACAGATTTAGTAAAATGTGGTCCGTTCCAAGTTCCAAGTTGGTTGCTGGATTTATATTGATGCTGGCGATAGCGGTTTATTTCCTCCGTAAAAGCATGACAATTTTGCTGTTAGAAAAATACATATCTAAGTGCACTAAGTACACAGTCCGAAAATAAGAATTGCAGACTTTGCACTTTTTCACAACTGAAGAATGATATTGTTCATGATCATATGCAAAGTTTTGACTGTTATATCTAGAGTGCAGTTGTTCATTGTGAAAGGAAAAATAGAAAATGCAGTTGAAGACTTAAAATCTTCCAATATGCAAGTAACAATATATGATGGATCCACTTAGGAGTAAGTTCTTTGAATAATATTTGGGATAAAAATTTGCCATGCTACTTGAAATATGGATTTTTGTTTGGGGAGCTAATTTCATATTCATGAAGGTGTTTACAAATTATCACTGCCATGTAACTCTTTCATACTTGTCTACCTCAGCAGTACCTATTAGTCAGCTAAAATCCTTTCACAGTTATGGTTTGCTTTTATGCACGGCTGCATGTTGAAGGAATAAATGCACTTTAATCTTTGTGTGGATTTTTCTGAAGTGTATAAATTTGCATACTTCTTTGGTTTTTGCATCACTTGATAATTCCAAAAAAATTGTAAACTCATCTGTGATCTAATATATGGAAGACGAGGCTGAGAGTTGGAAAAATAGGGGTACCATCTTCACATAGAGTGTATCTTGTTGCCCAGTGGGGCTGTACTTGTGAATTTTGCTATCATTCTTGAATGTTTACGTGTCTTATCTTGTTCTTGGGCCACCTTGATGTGAATGCCTTGCATCTGTCGCAGGAATTCCTGGCTTTGCCGCGGGCTGATGCGATTCATCTTCTCATGCAATACAATGGGAATGCTGATACTGTCATTCAGCAGATATTCTCTTAGTTTGTCATGTAAATCGTGATCGAAGATTTGTCAGGTTTTTTTTTTTTATATAGTACATTTTTTATTGGATTGGTTTCACAGATATACTTAATGTGTTTTTCTCGGTGTACTACAGAAGCCTAATATGCTCTCACACCAAACTGTATAATTATTTCTATGCTCTTCATAGAATCAATCCTATGTTCGTAAACATCACGTGTCTGTAATTGACATATGCCAACGACTTGGTGTATTCAGGAGCAGTCATGATCCTGAGAGTATTGTTTTTTTGTGTTTGCCGTGATAGCTAAAAAATGTTGGAAGATGGGAAAGAGGAAAAGAAAAAACAGAAAAACATGTACTATATGGTTCTTTGATGTGTAAAGAAAACATGGAGATAGTTGCTTTTGCATCTGATAATGTTCCAACAAGTGAATATATCTCTCATGGTATTGTACTTGTATGGTGTTCTTGCCGGAGGGATTCTGTTCACTCAAATCTCTCATGGTATTGTACTTGTATGGTGTTCTTGCAGGAGAGGTTCTGTTAACTCGTTTCACATCTTCACGATGGACGTGAAGCAGGAAAGGGTTGATCAGAAAGGTTGGTTCATTCCTTAGATTCCCTTTTGTTGTTTCAGATAATACTACTACTACGGTGATCTTAGGTTTTCCCCTCCCCTTTTTCTCTTTCTCTCATCGTCTTCTGTAGCCCATGTCAATTTTTTTTTCCCTAATAATAAATACTCTTTCTTTTCTCGGTTGTCTAATTCTCTCTCTCTCTCTCTCTGCTCTTTATACTTGTTCCTCTCCTTTTGTCGACTTTCATTGCCAATTATAATCTTAATTAAATGATATTTTTTCGAATATACTTAAATCCTATAAGACTGTTGTTGATATGGAGGCTTGAGGAAAAAAAAAAAATCAACGCACGCAGTCTTACCCCTTCAAAACATCAATGTCGTCGCCGTTATATCTAGAAGCATCACCCGCAAACAAATCGAGTAAGCGAGATCGGCCGCCACCCACAATTCCGTTTCAAAAATTTCTGCCATGAACAGGCCATCCATCAGTCATCAAAGATCAACATGTTTGACATCATCCTCCACGGAAACCCAACCCGATGAAGGAAGATTAGACCCGCTTTGCCTTCCCTACACGTGCATCCGAAGCAATGAGCCATCTCCTCAGCCAATCAATACCGTCGTCCGACACTCTTTCGTATCATTCCCAACCGCCTCACGGTTGCCAGAGAACAAACATAAGCCTTATGGTCGATTACTCCTTTCCTCCCAGCTTCCAACTCCCAACAAAAAGCTCCCACCTCTCTCTCTCTCCTTATAATCCTGCTATCACCAACCCACACGAAGCCTTCGCAAAGCCAAGCAAGATGGTGGAGTTGGCCGTCGCCCTGGCGCCCGCCGACCCTTCCTTCTTCCTGAGCGCACCGTCGAGCCCGAGGCCGTTCGGCGATCCCGCCGGCTGCTACTACTACACCAGCGCGCCTGCCAGCCCTTCTCGAGCTGCGGCAATCTACACCGACTTGTACGGTCCGGAGGAGAAGCCTGCAAGCCCGAGACCGGGCAGCGGCGACGACGAGGTACCGGAGTTCTCCTTCTGCTTTCACGGGAAGCCCATGGAGGAGTGGCCGACGCTGCCGATCACCGCTGCCGATGAGCTTTTCGAGGAGGGCATCATTCGGACCGTGACGCCGTCGTGGGTCGAGAATGGAGGAGGTGGTGCTCCTCAGATCGCGGAGGATGGCTTGAGGCGAGAGAGAGGGAGGAGGACTCTGTCTTCCTTTTCCGGCGCTTCTCCCAGAGGCCTGAGAGGGTCGACGTCCCTCTCTGCTCTAAGAGGAGGCTACGAGGGGGACCTGCCAAAGCCTCCCATCTCCTCCCCGGCCACCTCCGCTTTGTCGAAGGGTGGCGGAAGCAAGAAGTGGAAGTTTTCCGACCTGTTCCTCTTCCGCAGCGCATCCGAAGGGCGCGCAACGGGACGAGGAAGCAAGGACCCGCTGCGCAAGTACACCCTCCCTCCTCCCTCCTCGTGTACCAAGCGGGGGGCCAACGGCGGTGGATCGACGAGGAGAGGATCTGCGAGTTTGCCGTCAGCACACGAGATATACTACTCGGCAAACCGAGCAGCGGCGGAGGAGCAGAAGAGGAAGCAGATGACACCTCTGGCTTACCAACGCCACGGCCTGTTCGGCTACCTCAGCGACAACCCGGCCATCCACAGCATCACGAAGGGGTTCGGTGGCTCCTCCTTGTTCTCTCGCAGGCAACGGTGACCCACATCCATCCCATGGAATCATTCTTCTTCCTGCAGCGTGCATTGTGTGTAATAATAATCTTTATACGTAGATGAAAATACATTATTTGTTTTTTTTTTATCTCAAAGAAAGGAGAAAATAAAGCATCGATTGTAAGAAGAACTATTGATGAAACGAAGATGAGATTGCTGATGATTCCATCTCTTATCCGACTGGTCTCATCCACACAACACGAGAGAGAGAGAGAGAGAGAGAGAGAGAATTTGTTGTAATTCTTCCACTCTAATGCATGCATGCAGAAGCCTGAATGGGAAATTGATCGAGCTGGGAATCCACTCTAATTCTTCCACTTGATGAATCTTTACCCTCTTTATTTTGCTCCTTGTCTCTCTGCTTCACAATTAAAACCCAAGCATTTTGATTTCAATTATGACAGAAACTTCTTCTATCTTCACTAAAACTCGGAAACTAAAATCCTATTTAATCATGGTTTCGTTTAAATAATTCCAACACATAATCTATAAACTTTGGGTTAAACAGAATTTGAATATGTAATCAATCATAGTTCAGTTCAGTTGTAAATCCCTTAAAAAAGAGGAAACATGACTCGTAAACTCATTGACGATTATTCTCATTCATACTTACCAATAACAAGTCAATTAGTGACGTATTAATAATAGACTTTAACATCCTTGTGCCTTAATTTCGACTCAATCCATGTCTGCTTCTTGATCGGCGAACCTTCCACATTGGCTTCTCGACAAGGTTATTGCCATTGTCGACCAAATCTTGCAACTACTACTACTACTTCTTCTTTGACATCTCCATCGATGCTCTATGATCTCCTTTCAATGTATCATCATAATATAGTTGATGTAAGACTAGTAATAGAAAGGATTTTTTTTTTTGAATAAGGAAATAGAAAGAGAGAAAAGAAACAAAAATATATTAATAATTTAAAAGGGCAACTGAATTTATTCACACAAATGTGGTGTCAAACTAGACAATTCAATTTATTGATTCATCCATCTCCTTTATAATAATACTGTTGCCCTTTTTATAGGCTCAAATACAAGGATAAAAAGAAAAATATAGAAATATATATTTTAAAAAAAGTATAATTACATCAAATATATAGTCTCGATGTTTTTCTTTGTTAATGATATTCTTGATCGATAGACTTTCGTTTTCATAGAGAAAAAAGAATCTTTAAGATCTTCGATATAGATTTATAATCTTTAAATAAGAAAAATTATAATTGAATCGAATATATAATCTCGATGTTCTTCCTTGTTAATGACCTTCTTAATTGATAGATTTCCATTTTCATAGAGATGAATTTTTATAATAATTAAATAAAAAAATCTTCATGTTCTTCCTTGTTAATGATATTCTTGTTTTCTTTTTCTCTGAGCACGTATTGTCATGTGATAACTTATTATACAATATAAAATAATATTAAATTAATCACATTTACTTAAATAAAAAACAGTAATTCCTCCGTTAAAGATTGAATATTTTTGGAGAGGCTCTGTTGTTGTTGTTGTTGTTGAAAAGAGATTGGACATTTCGTCCCTATGTGAGGCAATGGGCTGTGGGTTTGGATTTAGTCATTGCCCAAGCATGTTAGAGGCCGGATTGGCCCTTCTCGCGAACCGAAAGGAAGCAGAGTCTTCTTGATGTGAAATGAAGGCCGAGCAAGTTTGGGAGTAAGAACAGGTAGAAATCTAAGCTGTTGACATTATCATTGCGCCCCAACTGGTTTGTTGGAGATTTATAATTAAGCAAGTGAAGGCAGAGCCAAAGGAAATGGGCAGATCCATAATTAGGTGCTAATAAATAGGTATCATATATCCTAATTGTTTTCAAGAAGAAGACAAGAACCCAGAGAGAGAGAGAGAGAGAGAGAGAGCCGATGGATGTCGGCTAATTAGAAGAACCATAAGCATCTTCTGCTTATTCTATCAAGCTTAGGATTTGGATGACTGCAGTGGCTGCTAATACGAATTATGAATCTTTGGCCTCTTTTGATTTGGTTTGGGAGCACCTCTTGTTCCCTTCTGCCTGCACCACCAAACCACCTCGACAAAAGCATCTTCAGCCACTGAAAGCTACTTCTCGCTGGATGTATGTCATCAGTTTTAATTCACCTACATGTAAGCAAAGCATCATATAACCTAATCATCTACTCTCCCAAAGCATCAGTTTGGTGAAGATTCTTCTTCTTCTTCTTCTTCTTCTTCTTCTGTTCTGTGATCAGTTAATGCGGAGGGAATATAAGACCACTTGGCTGGAGATAAGCAATAATATTTATGTTGAGAGGAATTAATTAGATGGGGCAGTTTTAGCACTGTCACATCCTCCTCTCTTACTTATCACAGATATCTTTCTCTCTCTTTTACTTGTATATTACAAGTCATTTTCTTGAATGACTCAATCTTGTGGAGGAAATAGTCGAGAGGAAAGTTATGACGTCGATTACTTGGAATTATCTTCTTGCCATCATTTACTTGTTCTTGGAACAATTAAGCACACATGAAATCTACTTAATATCATTCAAGAATGGATTTCTCATGGAGATTATTGAACACACAAATACGACCGAGGTTATTGAACGCAAACATACGACCGAGACTAGTGCTGCGTGGCGTCGGAAGAAGTAAGTTGTTTGGATTGCCTGCGCCGCTTCTCGTCCGACAGCTTCTTGGCGAAGCCAGTAAGAGCGGCCTCGTTGGTTCCCTCCCCGTCCACCGCCTCGGAATGACCCGTCTCTATGTTCACCCTCGACACCGGCTTCTTGAGGAGGCTATTGCCGATGTCAACCAGATCTTGCAAGTTCTTCTTCGTCGAGACGTCCACCGATGATGTTTGTCCGGTCAAAGTATCATCCTGTTCACGTGAACATTAGAAACTCGATTCACATGATTCCTCCGTTACAGCCTTCGAAGGTTGGTGGTGGTGATGCGTTACCTCTATGCGTAGGTAGTTCTTCCCTTTGTTGAGGGCTTGGAAAAGGACGGATGCGTGGATGTCCACCATGTCTGCGCTCGCCTGAGTAAAAATATCGATCAAAGGAGTCGTGCCCTTGTTCAACAACCACCCGAGCACGCCCCACTTTGCACTCTCCTGAGCGGTAAACTTCTCCTCTTGCTTGGGTGCTCCCGTTCCCAGAGAGATGACCAAAAACCTATCATACTCCACCGGCTGGTACGAGAAGAAATCTGGATTGCTCAGGAGGATCTCCTTGGAGACTTCCGTCATGGCTGTCAAAGTCTGTCGTCCCGTATGTCAGTACAATGATGACAAGATAGACATACGATTTAGGTGTCTAAACTTACTGGATTGTTTGCCGCCACACCACCATCGACGAGATTGAAGCTCCTCTTATTCCCGTTATCATCTTTGGTCTCAAAATAATGTCCAGGAAGATAGGTTGGTGCTGCAGATGTGCCGATGCATATGTCCGACAGAAGAGCGTCCTTCAATGGTGTACTCTTTGTCTGCGTTTACGGATGAAACGAGCCACTCATGATTAGTGAACCCGAAAGCGGCTGCTGGTTCGGACGGAGAGTTAACAGTACCTGGTACGTGGAGAAGATGGTGGGCTGCAAAAACTTGATGTCGAAGGTAGGGATGACGACGTTGGTTAATGTTTGACTAAGTCTTGTGTCGCCCAACAGTTGTCGGATTATGGCGTGGAGATACTTGCCATCGTACTTGGGTCCAGAGACGGCACCTACAAGGTTCAGTGCCGAGTTGAACAAACCAGCACTGCAACCAAATCTGTATCAGTCTTAATCGTATGCTCCTTGTGATTAACAATCATGTAGCAGCAAGTAATTGATGTTTTGGATGCAATAGACAGAATCGATGATCACAATAGCTTTATCATGACTCCGTCTTCCATCCATCAATGCATGCATGCAAACTAGTGCCACCATCGATGGTGTTACGATGGAATACTAACTTCTTCTGAGGAAAAATCTTGGGGCTGTTGTCCAGATAGAACTGGACGATGTCCTTGGCAGCAAACAGAGGCCTCTTCTCCTTGTTAGGAGCTGTAAGCATGGCGGTCACGAGGCCGCCGGTGCTGGTTCCGGCGATCACATCGAAGTAGTCTGCTATCCTCGCCTCCGGTCCATCCAGCTTCTGCAACAGCACCAAGAACAAAACAGAATTTAAGTTGGAGCAGCTTGTAGTCGCCGAAAGCCACACTGAAAACCAGGTCACCGTGCTTACTTGGAGCTCGGCTTCGAGGAAGGCGATGATGGTGGCGGGGATCAATCCTCGCACCCCGCCTCCATCGATGCAGAGAACGGTGACCCGCTTCCCGAAAGACGGCGGAGGGGTTGAGATCGGGGCGTCGGCGGTGGCCGGAGGTGTCTGGTCGCTGGCCATGGCGTTGTCGGAGTCAATACGAGAACAAGATTCTTGGGTTAGCAATTTGCATTGGTTATATCACGGATATATCTATATATATAGACAATCAAGAGGAGGATGTAACACCAACTCCGACTTGGAGTAAGTCAATTTAAAGAACACTTGAGCCCGAAACATATGCAAGGCAGGATACTACAAACTTGAATGATTTCCTGACCAAGTCTTCCGTAGCTGTCCAAATCTTGTTAATTTGTGATGACAGATCAGCCAATCTTATTGTTGCTCGGGAAATATCGTCGGGTATCCTATTTAGATTCCCATTGTTCTCGTTGACTTACAAATACTCATCCGGTTTGCTGTTTTCTATCTCTAATATGATTGAAGGATGGTAGAGTCTGCAAGCAAAAATCGTAGCCCCAGCTTAATGACCTTCCTGCCATCTTGGACCTAAACATATCTAATCCGAATTAAATTCGAAGGAATCTTTCATGATTGGTGGACCGACTCTCGTCTTTCTCGTTGTTGCGGCTTGCACAGCGTCGAGGATGCGGATGGAAGGTGCAACTGTGCAGCACATGCTGAATACGAGCAACTTGTTGGATTTAGATATTGGCTAAGTTTTAAATATGTTAGATGCAATTGTATGCGAGATGTGGAGAGAACATGTAGTCGGCACGCACGTCGATGGACAAGGAATAGCAGTCATTCTTTGAGGAAGAGCTGTAAGCTCGATACCTGGTCAGACGAGCTTATCCTGTTGACATGACTGTCTAATCTATACAACTCATGCACGGGAAGTGTTGTCTACAAGCCATTAACTACGAGTTTCTATTACATCATCACGTATAGATTTAATGGATCTTGGAGTATAGGATAGTCTTGTGAGGATCTGTCTCTTCGGTTGGGTATCTGCCATCCCATCCCATGTGATAGTTTTGCAACCTTCACTGCAGGTAAGAAGAAGAAGAAGAAGAGGAAGAAGAAGAAGAGGGAGTCGTATGCTAGAATACTCATCGAAAGAAGTCGGATAGTTGTTTTCCGAGTAGCTGGAGTGAGTAATTCACTTCAAGACATTGTCATCCACATGAATCGCAGCAACAGTAACGTGGATTGAATTGACCACTCAACAAGAGATCGATTTCCTTCCTCGGTTAATTGTAATGTGGAGGAGGGCGTGGAGGAGTCAAACACGGGCGCTTTAATTCGGCCGCTCTCACTAGGAACAGCAGTGGGTGACCCACCCCAGAATTGTGTGACTGAGTGTCTCGATCACGTCTCAACTATGGAGAAAGCCATGGAAGAAATAGGAGAATTGATTGTGAGGATAAACAAAGCACTTGTTTCCTTTCGTTTCTCTCCTCACAGTACAACTTACCAAATAGTACACCGCAAATTACCATCACTATTTAGATAGACTTTAAAGCTAGCAAACTCATCTCTTTTGCTTCTTGTTCTTGATCTATCTCTAATCCTGTTATAGGAGCAGAAATGCAGTAAGTCAAAGTGAAAGTAGAGCAACGTGATCATGAGTTCTTAGCTTGCTCGTCATGACCTACCAAACGATCTTGCTCGTAATTGACTTGCACAAAGTCGGAGTGGACCAACTAGTAACTTTATCGTCGTTGCAACTTGCACAGTAGAGTCAAAGATGTTGCGTCTAATACAAGCAACGTTGTTGCATTGAGTTATCGACCACGTTTAAGAAATCCAAGCCAAGTTTAATGTACGATATCGTGAAAAGAATATATGGAAGGCCACTCAATTGGACAAAGGAATAGCAGTCATCCTTCGTGGATGAGCTGCAAAACACACAACCTAGTCGGACAAGCTTATCCTGTTGACATGACTGCCGACTGATCTATACAACTCATTATGTTGTTTATGGGGAAAGTGCTAGAAAAATCATGGTTTATAATTTGAAGTAACAAAGAAAGTTTTTTTTGTAAGAGTCTCTAATTTAGGCAAGTAAAGGTTTCTATGCATCATCATAGATTTAGTAGATCGTGTACTGTTCTTGTAGTATAGAATAATCTTGTGAGGATTTGTCGCTCGAGTTATTTGTCATCCGATCGGTTTCATTTTATGCTCATGAAAACTATCAACTCTCCGAGAGAAGAAGAAGAAGAAGAAGAAAAAGATCACGATGGAAAATATGAGAATGATTCAAATATTGGTGACCAAATACTATAGATGGGAGGTCTCTTCTTTCATCTCTCACTACTTACTACTACCTGCAGAACTTATTAACTCAGGCATCAGAAAAGGTCTAATATTGGTGTGGTTATTGTTGGTTCCTAATTGATTACACTCACTAGTTGAAGATTAATTGTGATTGTTATTGTTGTTTTCTCTCTTTGTGATCTTTGACTTTCATGATGATTATAAAGATAAATTTGTGTTATCCTCGAGATTAATCCGTGATCATTTATTTGATTGAAGATCGATAATGAACATTGACATCATATTCAAATGATTAATTAAATCAAATGTAATTATTGATAGTATATAAGAACAATTGAGATCAGCTATCTCGGTCTTCTACCGCATCGGTAATAGGTAGTGTATTGGATTTGATAGAGTATGTCATGTTTGATTTGATATGCTTCGTTTGTTCATGCTTTCTAAGAAACAACTACTATCTCCTTATGGATGCATTATTAGCTTACATGTGTTAAGGTCAAATGTCTATTATCAGCAATTACAATCAATGGCCATAAATATCCTAAACATATGATGTAACGGCCCCAAACTTCACTGTAAAATGGGTAACTAGATTGACTTATTCAAAACTAATATTAACTTGAGTATCATATGGGTGTTGTTAATATCACCCCCTCGACTTAGTTTTGTAGGGTTAAGATCGATAAAAAAAAAAAAAAATCAGTTGGCTTGCTACTCAAATAATCCAAATTAATTCTAATAGTTTAGCGTTAGAAGGATCGAGTCCAAAGCCATCATTACTTACTTGATGCACTATAACATGACATTATAATTGATTGTGCTCTTCCGTTTTGTCACTATCACCATACTGGATCTCCATAGAGCTCAATAAAATGATTAGTCAAATCAATCTAAGTCGAGTAGATTAGGTTGAGCAAATTGACTCGTGTTGATTTCATGAAAAATTCGAGATTATATATATATATATATATATATATATTTGATTTGAAACCTTCAAACAAATAAAATATTACTTAAAAAAAATACAAAAGTGTTAGTACAATCGATGAAAGGAGAGAGAAAGAAATGTGGGGAGGAATCAAAACCACGTCTCACCAAACCATGCCTTTTTATGTGCTTACCACCTCCACCCTAGTAGAATCTATCAAGTCAGATCACAGTCTCTCTCTCTCTCTCTCTCTCTCTCTCTCTCTCTCTCTCTCTCTCTCTCTCTCTTCATTTGATGCCTTGCAGACCATATCATGACGTCATCATTTACGTGGACGAAGCTACAAGCCAAAATCCATCCTCGTATATAAACCACCCTCAAAGAGAGCTTCTTCTTTGTACTCCTCTATTCTCCCCTTCTGCATTGTTGCTTCAGACCCTCTCACATCTTCTCTCATCCTCACCACCAAGACCTCACAGAGAGCCCCTTCCCACCCTCTTCATACTATCATCTTCTCGTTCTATATCTAAAGACACCATTTTTTAGGGAGGAAGAGAAGAAAAGCATCAATCTGTCTTAATATCCACTGCTTTTGATTCATCCGCAATGGGCCTTAGCTACAAGTATGCTTCCTCCATCCTCCTCTGTCCAGAGGATAGCAGCAGCATCCTGGGATTCGATGATGGGGAGGGGGAGGAGCAGGACTTGCATGGGGAAGCCCAAAGGCGTGACCTTTGCCAATCTCCCGACAAAAAGAGTGGCTTTTGTGGGGCCATTTTGATGGACTTCACCTTGCAGTCGGAGGACTGTGTTGTCGAGCTGGTCGAGAGGGAGTCCCAGCATCGCCCACAGGGTGACTACGCCGAGAGGTTGCTGAGGGGGCAATTAGACATGGTTGCCAGGAGTGATGCCATTGACTGGATCCAAAAGGTGGGTCGAGTTTCCCTCTGCTTTACCACTTCTTTGTTCCCTCTGATGTTTTCCCTGGATCCCGTTCTTCCTCTTATGAGTCTTCAGTGGATGGGCATTTGATCTCTGAAACCACTGATCGATGTGATTAGAGTTTACTCTTTAGTTTTTCTTCTCCTTTCAGTCCGGGGATGCGCAGGGAAATCAATTCATCTTATCTTTCCCCACTCTGCATGCTCTTGATGATGGAGATATAATTTAGCTTTCTTTTTTATGTTATTATCTTCCTTCATTTACCCTGTGACAATTTATCACTTTTTTCTCAATGATCAGGTTCATGCACATCACAATTTTGGGCCTCTCACTGCTTATCTCTCTATAAATTACCTGGATCGATTTCTCTCCTCTTACGAACTCCCGGTAAGAGGAAAATACTATGACACCTACTTCTTTAATGTGATGCATGTAGCAATGTTAGCCACATAGTGCGGAAATGTATGGCTTTGCTGATGTACCGGTGTTTCGATTTCTCTAGTTTCAGCAAGGTAAGGCTTGGATACCGCAGTTACTATCAGTGGCCTGCCTATCTCTTGCTGCCAAGGTGGAGGAAACCGAGGTCCCTTTATCTCTGGAATTACAGGTTTAAGAAATAGAGAAACCAAAATAGTTATGTATATCAAATTTCATCTTGGATTATAAGATCCCATTACTGATCAATGAAATCTACATTTTTCGTTGTGGACAAACAAACAGGTAGGTGATGCAAACCATGTATTTGAAGCCAGGACTATACACAGAATGGAGCTTCTAGTTCTTGGCACCCTCAAGTGGAGGATGCAAGCCCTGACACCTTTCTCGTTCATCGGTTATTTTCTGTACAAATTTAGTGATGGAAATTTGCCAGATAGCTTGTTAACTTCTTCTTCTGTGGACCTCATTTTGGGCACTGTTAGAGGTCAGTGATTTAGAGTGATGTACCCATAATCTAGGGAGAGTTAGATTGGATAAAAAGGCCTAACATGACTGTGACTGTAACTTGATTGCAGAGATTGATTTCCTAGAGTACAGGCCTTCTGAGATTGCTGCAGCAGTGGCACTGTCAGTCTTGAAGGATACCCAAATTCTGGATCTTGACCAGGCTTTAGCTCGCTGCATCCATGTAAATAAGGTAAGATTGACCAAATGTTACACACTACTTCATCAATAAAATGCTATTTGTTTCCAAGGACCTAATTGGTTTGCACAATGAATTCAGGAAAGGGTCTTCAAGTGTCATCGAGTGATTCAAGAGATGACATCGATGAAGAACAGGACAAACAGGAACACCAGTCCATCGATATCTGCTGTGCCAAAGAGCCCGATTGGGGTACTGGATGCTGCATGCCTGAGTGATGAGAGTGATGATCTAGCAGTTGAATCACATGGAAACTGTCTTCTTCACTCCTCTCCAGCTGCCAAAAAGAGGAAACTGAACAGACCATCAACTTCATGAGCGTTCACCTGTTTGATAGTTTTTGCCAAATCCAATTAATTTTGTTTCTGAAGAGACTTAAGTGTGGCCAGGATGAGCTGAAGTATGTGGTTGACTTGAAATTTAACAGAGGAGAAAATGAGAATAAGTCAGTTGGCCTACTTCATCAACTCATGCTTATGATTTGAATGCAATTAACCAGATCAAAAATTTTTCAAGCATAATATAATGGTGTGCAGCATGTAATGACAGATCAGATTGAAGCTATTATTTTGTGTGAGAAGTACAGATTGCTAAACAAAAGTTCAATTATTTGTGATCCAAAGAGGATGGATTACTCCAGAGAAAACAGAAACAAACTGCAAGTAGATCTGCATATAAAAGCACAATCAGGCAGCATATATCTATCTATCTCATCCATTGATTCTTCATGTATTTGTGCTTTTTCTGCCATGTCCTTCCAAAGTTTGACTGCTTGTCTGCTTAGACTCTGGAATTTGCTGACCCCACGATATGTAGATGAAGAGCCCATTGTTCAGTGGCAATCTTGGAATGGAAACATGCAGACAAGAATTTATAGGGAAGAGTGGTGGGAGCCTCCCTTTGAAGTTTCAGGTTTTAGCAAAATATTATCAAAACAGTGTGTCATTTGATGGGATTTACCTTCTTCAAACTCCATCATCATATGTAAACATGGATTGAGCATTGCCCAAGACCCAATTCTGTGCCTCTTGGAGTATCATGTGTTGGGATCTGTGAACTTTTTAGCAGGACTTGGAACATCATGCACACAATGTTCGCAGCACTGTCATGTCCTCGTCGTTCCCCCATAAACGAAATGCAATGACTCTTTCACGTGAACATGATCATCAGCTCGATATGGAGAGGAATATCCTTTGTGCTTTCTTGTCCTAAAAATATACATATGAGATGACTTTGTATTTATGCCTATAGACAACAGTCAACTGGCTTAGTTTCCCCCATTGAAGAATCTGCCATGGCGTCTTCTGCAGCAAATTTCGTTTAACTATTTATGATTAATGGCCCTCCATTTTCCATGCTCTTTTGCTTGCAGGTCTGCTGACATGTGAGCCTATGTATGCTAATACTGTAACGACAAGCCTCCATCTTTTGGCCATTGACAAAAGCTGAGCAAGTTTCTTCGGAGACATGCAAGAGAAAATTTGGTCCTTTGGAAGTCCACGAAAGAGACCATAGAGAAATTACTACTTCATTGATCTCTGGGAAATGGAAACTGGTGTGCAATTTCGTAGGGAACTGTCTTGTGGCAGAGGGAGACAGCTTCATAAATACAGGGAGGCCTTTTGTGTACCTTTGAAAGTAATACTATTGTGACTTTGAACTGTGAATTAATGCAACAAACAAACCACCAAAAAAAAGTGATTTTTGTGAATATTAGGATAGCAGTGTCACCGTAGATTTTCTGAAGCATGGAACTGAGGAGGGTTATGTGAAGGCCAAAGCTTAAATTTGTGGAATTAAGAGATTTGAAGACGTGGATCAAAGCATCTAAACTTCAGATAGAGTTCGAGAGAAACAATTTGGCAATAAGCTGAAGTTGGTATTGTCTCTTCCAAATTGTTTGGAGAGGTTTTCAAGTACAGGAGGCCAATCCCTTCTCGGAATACAACAGGCTAAGCCTGACAGATGCTCAGCATATTTGGAATTAGATGCATGAGAGCAACAGATGTCAGTATAGAATTTGAACTGTAACATGGATCTGAATCTGTTCTGTTTGGGGTATATCTTTTCCAATTCTGCTGCACTCTGTCTGATGCCACCATAACATGAAACAATGTAAACAAGAGATTAGCTCGAAGAATCTTTTCGCTGTTTCAAGTCCCACCTAACATGCTGTCTCAGCAGAGGTAAGTCATCGGCAAACACTCATGCTCGAGGATGGGACTACTTCGATGCAGTAAGACGTCACTTGTTGTGCTGAGAGACGTTGAAATCTTAATCATAGTAGCTCATCAGAGACCAACAGCAAGTGAGCCTCATCAAGTAATGTTCTTGGAGACTGGAAGAACACATCTGAATGGTGGTCTGACTTCAGATATAGATCCACTGACCGGAACACTTAAACCGATTTATACCACCTCAACAACTTCGGTGCAGAGGAAGAAGAACCAGGAGGTAATCATCCTGTTGTACCGAAGTGGTCACTCCAGGTTGGCAAACCTCCCATCTGCGATCGACAGTCTCATATGCAACAGATCGTCCACCAATTGCCTGGGGACCGAAATTTTATGGGAGTCACGCACATCAACAACTAATGCATAGCTACCAGGATCGAACACCGATGAGCGCCTCGATGTTCAGATACATTACCGGTCCCGGGACACTGCTAGAGTTAAAGCAGAGACACAAACAAGTTTCATGGTCTCAGTTGGGTAATCGGCCAAGGTTTGGCTTTTGAGATGGGTAGGTGAAGACAAGAGACTGATTCAGGCCTGATGTAGGTAGGAGAAACAGATTCACAAAGTGCTCGCATTAGATGAGACAACAGTAAGGCCGAAGAAGGATGAGACAAGCGGTGAGTAATTTTATGGAACAGATGTGTCATCTGTAAGTGTGCGTCAATCAGCTTCGAGGTCGGAGGAAAATGACAGACAAGTCGGTGAGAGGGCGACGATGGAGAGTGTCCGATGCGATTTATTGCCCCGTGAGCAGCTTAATGGTGTTCAACAGCCGACCCAACTGCGGGATGAGCAGCTTGTGGACACTGACTGCGGCCTCGGGGTTCCATCAAGCTGGAAGAGATGGTCCCGGTCAAACTTTGACTCTTCACTCCATCTCAAAATCCCAAAATTATTATATCTCAAAATTATCCTTAGGCAAGTATTATGATAAATAGATTTTTTTTTACGATTATGATAAATATTATGATAAATAGATATAGTACTACTACCCCTTCCTACTTACTGAGAAACACCTAAACAAAAATATTTTTTTTTTTCGAAAAATTCAACCTTAGTTTTTCTCTCTTTTAATAAATGCTAATGTAATATTTATCTTAATTTTTTGATATATAAATAATCTGAAACATAGGTAATAATATGGATAAAAATGAATAATTAAACATACCTTACCTTCGGAATCCCATGGAGTTACGTTTTTGTTCTCACAATATCAATCAATACTCGATCTAACATGAACCGAACCCAATTAGAGTTGGGCTGGAAAATGGCCCAGTGGGCTTAATTAATCCGATATGAGTTCATGAACGAGCCCAAATTGACGAGGAGAAAAGAATGGCTTTACTGTGTCGTCGTCGCAACATAAGATATGTTACCTCGGGCCAAGCACCGTGGTATGCCATCCTTTCTCCTCCTCTCTTCGCTCCTCTTCGCTCCCACCCTATCTTCCTCCTCAGCTGCCGCCGCCGTCCCGATTCCTTTCCCCAATCCCCTTCGCCGCCCGTTGTCAGTTTGCCCCGCCTATCCTTTCTGGGGTTCGAGAAGAGGACCGGGGTCGATCTGCTACGCGTCATCTCCGCCCTCCTCGCCTCTCGCCCGCGCTCTCTCCTCCACGGGATCGATGGAGGACCAAGCCGTGTCATATCTTACCCAGCGAGAGGCGGCGGAGATCGATGAGATCCTCATGGGACCTCTGGGGTTCAGCGTCGATCAGCTGATGGTGCTTTCATCTTTTCTTCTCGCATTCTCAAGTTCCCTTCCTCCTCTAATTTGATTTTGATTGAGATGTTCTTCATCTGGCAGGAATTGGCGGGATTGAGCGTGGCCGCGGCTATATCGGAGGTAATTTTGGTTCTCTTAAGCCCTTCTTGTTCTGTGTCACTGAAATGCTCACAGGGGTCATATTAATGGAGTTAGTCATTCTTTGTGTTGTTTGTGCATTTTCCGTCTTGGGTTCTGCATGAACTTCTTGTACTGTAAAATACTAAAATTTAACATTGTTTGAAGCTCAAATTCATAACTTTTGGTTCAAGCCAATGGAGAAATATGGTTTCTTCACTTATTGTGCATCGCAAATTCACGTTGCCCACCTCTGATTTGAAAAACATGTGGACTCTGAAAGATGTTAGCGGATACTTCAAATTGATTGAAGGATCTCTAGTACAGTTTTTGATCCTAGCCATTCTGTTTTATGTGGTAGATGGAATAATGATCACAAAGTTAAAAAACGGATGTTTCACTGTCCAAAAAGAGTAATCAGCAGTCTTTCAATATGGCATGCTCACTACTTGTCCATTTTGTAGTTGGGAAAAAAAACTTTTGCAAATATCTAGTACGGTTTATGGGTGATACTCTGATCATCATGCTGTTGTAGAGAGCTTCTGCATGACAATTAGCAAATATTGGTAAGAAACAAGTAACAGTGTTCACAGAAGCTTGAGGAAGAAACAAGTAGTTTTGATGACTTTTGGCAGCATAAACGAGTACAAGAAACTCTAAAAGAAACCTGAAAAGGATATCAAGCTGATAATCAGGTATATCCATTTTCTATGGTTTTCCTCGTATTAGCAACATAAACTTTAGTCCTTAGAGTTGCCTACAGGAAATAATAACCTTAAATAGGAGTAGCAGTGACCTTGACCTAAGTATTTTAAGAAGATACACCCGCTATAGGTGGCTACATGATATAGATGATCCAACTTTTCAGCCTCCTTTACAGATATGTTTTATGATGCTTCAGCTGAAGATATAGAATCACAGTCCTTTATATTTATGTGTCAAGACAAAATTACAAATTATATTATTAAAATTCGCACAATCAATAGTTTTTATGATATTCACTGCCTTATCCATGGAAATTTCATTTTGCCATTAGATCATTGAGTTGTGCAACAAATATGACGCTGGATTTGCCTCTAAATTTTCTAATATAAGGTAATTGTGGTGGAGAATTCTAATATTGGAATCCATTTTAAAACTTAATCCTTTATTATTATATCCTGATTTGTCAAATTCTTTTGCACGAGTAACAACACTGGTAATATGAAGATTTTCGTGCAGCAGTTTTTTAATAAAGGATTAGTGGTGTGGACATGTCCCTGGTCGGACAAGTTGTGTTGATTACCTGGACGGTGGTTCCATGATAACTTACTGATGGTAAAAGCTAAATATGTGTTTGTAGTTTGAAAATCATAGGGGTAATATCACATTTTTAAGAAGGCATGTTAGATTGAAAACCTACTGAGTCCATTAAACAAATTTGTTGTGTTAAAGCTTAAATGTTTTTGATATTTGTAGATGGATTATGAGCATCTCCTGTTTGGGTGATTATTGTGGTGGGAATCATGTTGAGCAGAAAGATCATGTAAATGTCAATAATCCTGAACAGGCTATAATTTCAGTGGATTTAGTGGATGCATTTACAAAGACATCTTATCGGATTATCAGTTCCACGATTACTTCTCCAGCTGAACTTTCACAATTAAGCTAATATGTCATGAGGGGCTATTTTATACTCATTGCCAGTAAGATCATGATGAATCGGGCCACCTTTATCGGGAAATTAAATTTTCTAATAATGTTTCATTCAATCGTTATGTCAAGAGGGAAAGAATATTACTGTGGGCCATGGATCCTTTTGTATTAATTGATATTGTAGATATCAATGCTTAATCTTTTTCGTCAACTGTGAAGGATCTCATGATTGTTTATTATTGGATCTCAAAATCTGTATATCTCAATGCTTTTGCAAAGTTAAAATAAGATGTTTATGGTTTTTAATAGGTCTATAAATCAAGTGAATATAGACGCGTCCTTGCTATCTGTGGTCCAGGAAATAATGGTGGTGATGGTCTTGTAGCTGCTCGTCATCTACATCATTTTGGATATGAACCCTTTATATGTTATCCAAAGCGTACGCCGAAGCCTCTCTATAATGGCCTTGTTACTCAGGTATGGCTCATTTCCTTTTCTTTTCCAGTTATTCTCATTTGATTAGAGTCACTAACTATTTTATGTTATTTTGCAGTTGGAATCACTATCGATTTCTTTCATTTCTGTTGATGACTTACCTCAGAACTTAACGGAAAATTTTGACCTCATTGTTGATGCGATGTTTGGATTTTCATTTCATGGTAACTCAAGTGCCTATTTGGCATTAATTTGTTTTGTGCTTCTGTTTTTGAAAGAGGATAATGTTGTATACTAATGTAGGATACATCATGGTCTAAATTTTCACTTCCATGCCCAGTATCGGCATGGAACTCCACATATGAGCATCCGTTCCAGAACACAACAAATGTCCCCACTTTGATATTGGGTCAATGGTCTGACACGAACAAAGCTCTCTAGAATTTAAAACTGTAGAAATTAAGTTTTATTACTTTATTTTTATTTCTGTTCTTTTGGAGGAAAACCTGTACTTTAAGAGCTTTCACCGTTCTAAGCTTTGTAATCGTCTGACAATTACTGCTAGGCCCATGATTGCTCGACAATCTTTACTTGATCTTCTGATGGGTCTCTAGGATGAACCAAAAGTGTCACCATTAAATGTGCTTTCAGTAAAACAAAAAGAAACCTGGAAAGAAATATTATATTTTCATTTTTTTATATGTAGAAGAACCCAAAATCAAGGCACTGCTAGATGGGCTGAAGATTCTTATCAAGTTTATGTTTCCACGCATTAATTGTCGCAGACAAAATGCTTGAATACTTTTTCTTATTGCTCCATATTCAACATTAGTTAATGTGAATTATAACTTTTTCTAAAATTTGGTTAGTTTCACATCCTTGCATTAAGTGCTTACACATATCTTTTAGTCCCTGCTCTTGTATGATGTTTATTAGGGAGATTCTAAAAATGTAGGTATTGTGTATTTGGCTGAAGCAAACTGTATGTAATTGATTTTCTTGATTCATTTGGTTCATATGACCAATTGTTTTTTTTTATTCCAAACAAACAAGATCACTGAATAAGCTTCTTTGGCTTTTTTCCAATAGTCTCTTTATTCTGTCTTACAGAATTTTACTTGGATGGTTTAATTTCATCAAGATACTTCGAAGTAATTCAAAGACATGTAAGAATAGATTTTTTTCTGCAACCTATTCTTATGATGGTGCCAAGATATTCTACATAGTTGCATTGTAAGTAGATTATTGTGATCTTAACCAAGACGAAAAATTGAAATGCTTATTACATAAAAGTAATGCATCCATAAACTTGGTTTTAGTTAACTACTTGTTTCTTTAGATGTTAACAATAATGAATGTGTATGTAGGTCAACCAAGGCCACCCTTTGATGATCTTATTCAGAGGCTTGCTTCTCTAAGTCGTGTTGACTGTGGACGCAAGAGATCATCAGCAATTGTTTCTGTTGATATTCCTTCCGGTTGGCATGTTGAGGAAGGAGATATCACTGGTGAAGGCTTTGAACCTGACATGCTGGTATCTGTCTAAATTGAATTTGGTTTGTTCTTGTACATAATAGTATCTGATGGTGGATTTTGTACGCACACATCTTTGTTATTATTCTGAAATAACTTACATCTGAATTTACTTTTTATATCTAGGTTTCATTAACTGCTCCAAAGCTCTGTGCTAAAAAATTTGTCGGCCCACATCACTTTCTTGGGGGCAGATTTGTTCCTCCGTCTATCATCAGTAAGTACAAACTTAAGCTTCCTCAGTATCCAGGCACTTCAATGTGTGTGAGAATTGGAAAACCCCCATCTGTTGACATTGCATCACTGAGGGAGAACTATATTTCTCCTGAACTTCTTGAGGACCAGGTGCTGTCTCACCCTGTAGATCAGGTATATTTTCTTTGTTTTCAACTGGATCTATTATATGATTTCTTATGTATTTCAATCTGCTCCTTGGCTGCTGAAACCACTCATTCTCTTCAAGGTGAAACGATAATAAATCTGAAATAGTTGGATCAGGTGTATTTATCTTTTAACTTTGAATAACATTCTACCATGACCATATGCTAGTTCCATAAATGGTTTGATGAAGCAGTTGCTGCTGGCTTGCGTGAGCCAAATGCTATGGCCTTGTCAACTTCTGGCCATGAAGGAAAACCGTGTGTATTCTTTTTGAGCCTTTTCTTCATGAAATCAGATTCACAACATGTTAGACTTTTGGTGTATATTCCAAAACTTGAATTATCTTTTCTGCAGTTCATCACGGATAGTCCTGCTAAAAGGAGCTGACAAACAGGGGTTTGTCTGGTTAGTGATGTTTGACTAATTCTGCAACTGACTGCTGAGTTGAATTTTCATATTCATTAACAAAGCATATAGTTTATATTTCTTTCCATGAGATGGTTTTACATAAGCATGTTTGTTTTGCTAATTTAGGTTTACCAATTATGGGAGCCAAAAGGCCAAGGAATTGTCTGAAAATCCTCATGCTTCACTTCTTTTCTACTGGAATCCTCTTAATCGTCAGGTTATTGCTCTCTCTTGGGGTATTTAGCTTTGTCTTCATGGAGACAATTACTTTTCATATGAGATTACAAAACTTTTTTTTTGGAAATTTGATTATCTTGGTACAACTGAAGGGCTATGGTTTTTTTATATGATAAAATTTTGTTTGGATCAGCACCGATCTAGCATCAACTTGATGAATCTAGATCAAATTCATGCTGATTTAGGTTCAATCTACTCAAATATTGCCTAGATCTACATGAACATGGGTCAAATTCATGTGGATCTATGCCGGATGTTGTTCTAGACAAGTTTTGCATGGTTCTTGACCAGATACATAAGTATCTAGTTTGGAACCATGCAGTGTGGATCGACTTAGATACAAATAGATCAATGCTGGATGTGCATTCAGCCTCAATTTAACAAGAACTTTATGTTCGAAAACATAAAATATCTAAATGAGTGAGAAACAACTCTTACACAAATAACAAGTTGGCTAGGTTTAGATTTTCCTCGAATTGAAGAAGAAACCAAGCTTCCTAGCAAGAAACCCACACCATAGCTTGAAAGAAAAGTCACAAACGTGATGTTTCTTGAGAATTTCGATAATAAAATGGGAGAAACTTGAAGACAAAATTTGAGAAAAAGAGAACGAAATAAGCTTGATATTATTGCTGATGGAAAAGAGAGGAAATGAGCATATTGGTTGAGAAAGGCGAAAAAGTGGATGGAAGAAATGTGAGCATCGAATGGTATACTCATCGCCCGACCAGTGACGATACTGGTATTCTTTTTGTATCAGAGAGAATTTCTGAAAATCATTGGTTTTAGAATTGTTTATTACTTTATTAGTTACATTGTTTTGCATCAATGATACTATTTTTTAATAATCATTGATTTTAGATGTGTGTTATGAGTAACATATTTTTAGTTGATATATATTTTCACAGTGAAGAAGAATTCATTCTTTGGCTTCTCCATCTGGTTGGGACTTTTGTCTGATGCGGTCAGTATTATAAGTTGCAGGTTAGAGTTGAAGGAACTGTTGAAAAGGTTTCTAAGGAGGAATCCGAGACATATTTCCATAGTCGCCCTCGAGGAAGTCAGCTTGGAGCAATAGCTAGCAAGCAGGTCTGATGTGTTTGTCTTGCTTTTATCTATGTATAAAAATGTTTTTATACACGTCAGTGGAGACTTAAATGTTTTTATGGGTTTCTTCAGAGTACTACTGTAATCGGAAGGCATGTGCTTGATGAAGCGTACAAAAAACTAGAGGAAGAATATGCTGATGGGTTAGTTTAACTAAGCCTTGTTTTGTGTCAGAGTATCTTTGTTTTTACCTCAGAGTATGTTTGTTTCTGTCATGTGCCTGTTGCATATGAGTTTGGTAATGCTGTTATTTGAGCAGTAGCTTTCATTAAGTTAATATGTTTAGCATTGCATTTTCCCCCTCTTTATATTTGTTTTGTCATCATAGTATGTTTGTTTCTGTCATGTACCCGTTGCATATGATTTTGCCATTTTGGTAATGCTGTTATTCGAGCAGTATCTTTCATTAGGTTAAACGAGTTTGCTATATGCTTATGCCTTTTATGCCTGTCTATTATTCCAACTTCTAAGATGCAGTCTTGATTAATATATGCTATAACAAAAGTACCTCATTTTTTGGTTTGACATGTTAGTTTTAGTTAATGTTTCAACAGATAGGCAAATAGAAGTATTTTAGATATTTGTGAATCCTTGGAAATCTCTTTTCTGTTTTTATATGCGCCTTTTTTTTTTGAGAGATGAGAGCCTTCATGATTTTTATGTCAACATGATCATTCTTCAGCTTTGAAGGTGTTACCCTTGAAGAACCCTGCACATATGTGCCCTGTAAATTTTAGTCTTCTTTTTAACTAGGATATCTTCGACCTTGTAAAGTGCTCATTTCATGTTTGAAGTGGATAAAGACTGTAAATATGAGGATTTAAAATTCTGTCCTTTACTAGAAGCCATTGCCTTGTGTCTGGTTAGGTTGTATGTTTGGTGCTTGTAGGCCAGAGTTTATTGCCTATTTTTCTGCTCAGGTCTCCTTTTTTTCATTATTTTCTGACTTTTGTATTATAAATTGGACTCACTCATGACTGTAAGAGATTCTAATTGATTCAACACTGGTTCATGTGATCCCTTATCATTTTCTTTTGGTTGTTGAACAAGTACGTTGTCTGACCCTATCATCCCAGCTTTACTATTTTTAGCATGATAGAAGTCTGTGGCTCTCTCTCTCCCATGGTTTTCGTATATGCCACTCAGGAAGAATTTGTACTCCACCCTGTTAATATGCATTCGGTCAACCGACCCTCACCATTGAAATGTCAATGTTGTTGAAGCTAAAACTGCTTTGCATTATGCATTCTGCTTCTCCAGAAGCTTGATCCCTATGCCTAACCTGCCTTTGCATTATGTAAAACCCTGTTAGTATGCACTCGGTCAATCTACCCTCATCATTGAAATGTCCATGTTGTTAAAGCTAAAACTGCCTAATCTGTCATTATGTATTCTGCTTCTCCAGAAGCTTGATCCCTATGCCAGAGTACTGGGGAGGCTACAGACTGAAACCAACCAAGTTTGAATTTTGGCAAGGCCAGCCTTCTCGTCTTCATGATCGGTAGGTCCATCCCGTTCGATGAGGCATCTGGAAGTATATGTTATGCTTCATGGCTTATGCATTAGCCAATTGAAATTAACATTTTTGTGTTTTACAGGCTTCGGTACTCAATCAGGACAGTAAACGGAGGCGAAGTATGGCATATCGAAAGGTTGTCTCCATGACTGGTAGTGTCTTCTTCTTCAGCCTCTGCCATGCGATAACAAAGAAATCTAAATTTAATCCTTTCTACTGCTACTTAATCATCTCTCATCATGTAAAGCTTAGAATTGTTTTGCATGTCATCAAACTGCCGATCCGCGTCCTAGAGTGCTCATGAAAGAAAGGTTTTGATAGGGGTGGAGGGGCACATGCTGCGAAGTCCAAGATCTGAGTTAGCTTAGGGGTCCTGCAACAGTCTCTCTGTTGCCCCAAACTGAGGTGTGTTGCTGTTTGCGATCTTCCACCTCTGTTTCCCTTCCAAACTTCTGGTTTGTTTATGCGACGCTACTTGTTCGATGTGCCGACATAAAATCAGAAACATCTGTTTTAGATTTGGTTCGTCTTGGGATGAGGCTTTATGTCTGAATCGATTTGGTGAACATTATATTCGAAGATTTTTGATGACGCTCTGTTGACACAATGAAATATAAATGGTAGCAGAAAATGTAGCCTTTTGTCGAATCAGATTTGTATAAACATAAAAGGTTTTACTCGGTAGTACCGTAAACAGGACAAAACTGAACCGAAATCCTCGGTCCGGTTTAGATTTCGGCTTGCATGATTTCCTGGTTCGATTTCGGTCTATGAAAAATTATTATTCGATTTGTCACCGTCGGGAAGAATAATATCATGAGATTTTGATTTCGTGTTGATTTCTTATTCGAAACATTTGTTTGACCTCAATCCCGATCGAGAATTTAGACTCATCTGACGCGCCGGACGTGCGCTTCAAATAATAATAATAATAATAATAATAATAATAATAATAATAACAATAATAATAATACTAATAAAACAAGGTCACAGTAACTAACACGTGCACTTACCGCACACCAGAAGAGCTTCAAAGTCGTCCAAAAATTATTAAATGGCTAAAAAATTGGCAAAATTTCGGTTTCTTACCTTCACGGAAGGTGAGCAGAATATCACGGGTCACGAGACCGGAGTGTGTTTACCGCACACCGGAAGGATGTCAAAGTGTTCCAAAAATTCCAAAATGGTGGCAAAAACATCCGACACTCGGTTTCGTAAGATCACCGGGGAGTGAGCAGAACTTTAATACAAACAAAACGAGGAGGACTACGAAGACCTCCGGGTGCGCTTACCGCATAACAGATGGATGTCAAGGAGCTCCAAAAAATCCAAAATTGATCCCAAATCGTCTAAATTTTGGTTTCTTATTCTCATTTGCGGTGATCAGAACTCACGCCTTAAAGTCAAAAAAGTAATGCAGTTTGCGATCGATTGGGAACAATTAAGGAGACCGATTAGGACATCACAACCTAATGAACAGATCAAACACAGAGAGAGAGAGAGAGAGATGAGTTGAATTCCTCCTAACCAAGTTTGTGCTCCACAAGCATGGTTGTCGTGGTTGCTCCAAAAATTAATGCACCGGAGGTTGTTTGGACTTGGCAATCGTTCCACCGGCATGAGCTAAACCCCCCACCAGTAGTAGTAAACACATGCATTTTGGGATGTCACGGTGGAATGAATACATTGGTTCTTGCTGCTTCTTGGTGGTGTTCATCGAGACAAGCATATGATTCTGGCAGAAGCGAATATTTTGATCAAGATGGAGCTGTTGTGCTCCAGCTTTTAGTGTGCCGTCAAACAGTGAGAGTAGCCATGTGATTTCGTCCCATGTCTTATTACCTTAATACGACCTCGTCATCTTCTTGTATAACAACACGCATAAAGTTGTACTGCGATGCGATGGCAGCCTCCTCTCAGATGCTCTCTTCCTCCTATCTCTATCTCTTTCGATCCGACCTACTAATCTCTTCTTCTTTTTTATCGACTCTCTTATCTCCCTCTTATAATAATGATGCGAGAAGATCCCCTTAATATCTTACTTTACCTCCTCGATCTCCTTGAGATCTTTGCCATCATCGATTTAATCGTCATCTTCTAGACCATCATCTCCTTTCACTATGAGAGGGTTGATTTTCTCCTCTCTAATGTTGCCCTCACATTACCACACCGATGTCATTGGCTCCCTCTTTTATTTATCTTTGCCGATGATAAGCCCAATGAGATTGAGCTAGTGCCTTGACAATATCAGACGAAAGTGATGAAGTGGAGGAGGTCACACAGAGACAATAGGCCCTCGCAATAGAGTGACGATGATGGACAATGGTAAGGGGGCAGAGTCGACCATAATAAGATAATAATTGACGGGGGATAAATATAGCTAGACCTATTTAGTATCTTAGTTTCTAGACTTAAAAATTTATGTTCACATCCTTATATTTATGAAGGCGAAATATTAACCCCAATAATATCGTTGGCTTTATCAACCAAAGATACAATGCCTATGAAAATATTAATTTTACTAATGATAAAATAGTCGTTTTAGACGTTAATTAAAAGATGAAAGAAAGAGGCTATTGGCTTAGGCAGTTGTACGATTAGTTTCTTCCCCAAATTATTCTCTTAGGGTTTCTTCCCCTAAATCGATCTTTTAGGGTTTGATCAACTTAACATTATTGTATTATCGAGGAGCTTTGACTTACACCCTAAGAGCGATACGAAGAAGAAGTGACCAACTTAACATTACTGTTTTGTCAAGGAGGTTTGCAAGAAGAAAATCAATTGTGCGACTATGGTAATCCTTTTTTTTTACTTTTTAATTAATAATTGAAATGATCATTTGATCATTGATAAGATCGATAATTGATGTGCTGTTTTGTACCTTCGATCGGTAAAATTGAAAAGTAGAGATAATTTTATCTTTTATAAAAAAATAAGAATAGCATAATAAATAAAAAAACTGTTCTGCGGTAAAATAAAAAATAAAAAAATTGATATTATTTTATAAATTTTTTGTTGGCAACAGATCATCATCACTCGTCTTTTGCTTCCTTCACGCATGCAAACACACGGCATAAACAGCACACACCTGTTCGATCAAATGACCAACGTCCCTGACTCCTCCGACAATATTCCTGCTTCATTCGATTCACGAACCCACAGACTAAATTAATCCTCAGATTCTCTTGCCGACATTGTTTGCCATCGACCCTACTCAACTCTCGATAACACCAATGTATTTTTTTTTTTATCGTGGATCACTCCATGGCTTCGTCAACCCAGATATCATTGTTTGGTACAAGGCACAAGAACAAGACTGGCAACTTCTGTAGACGAAGGTATTTGGATTTGGATGGAGCTGAAGTTGACAGGGTCTGAGACAAATCTCTCCGCTGCATCCAATCGACCGAGCTTTTTCTTCGACATGACGATGGCAGATTATGGTACGTAGCTCTTGTCTGCTCCCTCTGCAATCACACATTCATGGAGAGCCTCATGATTATGGATTACAGAGGATGAGATGAGATGCAAGCGACTGCGTGCTGCTTCAAAGGTAAAAGAACAAAGAGGAGAGTGAAAATTTCTTGATCGATCTAACTCTCATTCTCCTCGGAGAGGCGACAATCGACAGGACAATTAAGTATGCGAATAATTAGCCAATGGATCGTGGTGGCCAATAGAATACTAACTCCAATCTGTTGTTCTTCCCAAGCAGGCTTTGGAGGAGAGAAATGGCAGAGGAAGCCAGTTGATGCTGTTGAGCTTGTGAAGCTGTGGCTGAAACCTTCCATCGATTCACGCAAACATGGCGATTATTAGTAGCTGAGGCTGTCATCTTCCCCCTTCAACCAAATGTGCAGAATCTACTTGCACAAAACTCGTGTTTTAGCTGGCAACATGTTGGATTTTGTCGAGTGTCTGGTTGGATTCAGTCAGCCCTGTTCACTGCCGCTGATTTAGCTGGCTGTTCATTGATTGCAGATTAGGCTGAAAGCTAATCTTAGTAAAACCTGTAAACATTTAAATTAGATTTATTGATGCACACGCCTCTACTTTATTTCCCTCTCTCTATATCTAAGTATACTTAATTTCGTCAAAATCTTGAAACCATAATCATAATTAGGATGAATTTAATGGAAAGATCACATGCATTTTGCAGCATCGTTCATACACCTACGAAAATTTGGTGACAGGACTCAGAAGCTGCAGATGGTAGCAGTCAGGAAGAGACAAGGGAAAGCTCTGCTGCTGCTACCTCAGCTCAGCTGGTGATGCTCTCATGTTCCGTGATCTTTGAACTCACATCACTCGTCTCACTGTGGGTAGAGTAGAGGAAGAGGAAAGAGAGAGAGAGAACACGGACTCTTCTTCCTCTGCTTCTCACGTGGCAAGTCTGCAATTGTTTTCTTCTGACCCGCCCCGTGCCTTTAAAAGGCCACCCTCGTCCTCCCCGTGGAGCTGTGTGCAGGTGGAGAGAAATGGCATTGGAAGCTGTGGCTTTCCCTCACGACCTCTTTCGCTGTGTCTCCATGGAGCCTCGTGCCGCTGAGGGAGGAGCATGAAGCAGTGACTCGGGTGGGCTAATGGAGGATGACAAAGGGGCGGTGCAAGAATGTGATCCCTCGTGCTCCTCGGCGCAGAACCTCCATGGAGGAGTGGGGGAGGCCATGGAGGTGGCGGGGCGGAGGAAGAGGCGTTGCGGGAGGAGCATCAAGAACAGAGAGGAGGTGGAGAGCCAAAGGATGGCCCACATTGCCGTGGAGCGCAACCGCCGGAGGCAAATGAACGAGTACCTGGCTGTCCTCCGCTCTCTCATGCCTTCTTTCTACGTCCAAAGGGTAATGTAATAGCACGATGTTTTCCTCTGATCACCATGAATTCATCTGCAAATCTTGAGAATTAGCACTTGTATGCACAGGGTGATCAAGCTTCGATTGTCGCTGGCGCAATCAATTATGTCAAAGAACTGGAGCAGCTCCTTCGTTCGATGGAGGTGGAGAAACGGCTCAAGCGACGAACAGATGCGGCCGCCGTCGCTTCTGCCTTCGCCGGCTTCTTCAGCTTTCCTCAGTACTCCTCTTTCTTCAGTGGCGGCGGCGGCGGCAATGGCAACGACGATAACAGCGGTAAAAGGCACGGTATCAGCCACTCTGGTGCCTTTTACCGCAACACCGGCGAGATCGAGAACCAAACGGCCACTGCCAACATCGAGGTGACGATGCTGGAGAGCCATGCAAACCTCAAGCTGCTGTCGAGGCGGCGGCCCCGGCAGCTGCTCAGGCTGGTGGCGGGACTGCAGAGCTTGCGGCTCGTGCCGCTGCACCTCAACGTCACCTCCGTCGATCGCATCGTCATGTACTCCTTCAGTCTCAAGGTGTATCGAGCTCTTCGTCTCCAATCTACATCACTGCGATTCCGGATCTCTTCTGAACCTGCTCTGTTTGGTTTTGATCGGCAGGTGGAAGACGACTGCCGGTGTACATCAGCGGACGAGATTGCAGAAGCAATCCACCGAATGCTAATCAGGATAGAGGAGGAGGCAAATCTGTAGTCGATTCCTTTTGAATGTAAACGTGATTGCCACTCGTTCTTGTAGCCGACAAGGGTTTTCATAGCATTTACTCGATTCATAGGGGATCCGCCATTGACGATATCCCGAGTATGCTCTGCTAAGTTTGTTGGATGAAGGCCTTCAACAGTGTCACTGAGAACACCCGATACAAACAAGCCGCAGAGATGCTTGGATCCAACAGTGCCACTGGGTCAGCAAGATCTTGATAGTATTGTCCCAAATCTACTTGCACTCTGCAGAGGGAATAGGCTGTCATGCTCAACTGACGTTTGCATCCAAATCCAGATAGAAATATTATTCCTCTGCTGCTTCAGGATTGATGTACAGTAGAGATCTAGTCAAGATTTTGTCGAATTAGTACTGGCAAATTTTTAGCAGAAGTCATGTTTTTGGTTATAAAGGTGAAGAAAAGAAGGATCATAAGAAGAAAAGTTGAATTAGGACAGGCAAATCAGAGCTGATCTCTGATTTGGCTTAAAAGAACATACGGATTTGCATAACCAAGTTCATTAGGTTGATGAATGAATGACCAATAATGACTAAAATCTCTGAAAATAATATTGTGCAAAATCATCTGCTCTACATAATCAAAATGATTTTAGTATTTCGACTGGAGTAATTACCAAAACAACTTCAGGTTTCTGTTTAGCATCAGTTCATCTGAAGAACCCAATATTTGTTGAACTGTTGATCTCAGTAAATGAAGCTGGAGATGAAAAACCAAGTTACTAAGCATTTGGTCGGTGGGCCAAATGGAAACTGACAATCTTCAATTCTTCTGAAACTTGAAAAGCAGCAGCACAGAAATTTACAAGGAACAATGATCTAACAAGATAGTAAAAACAAAAGGAGACTGCAAGCACTCATATAAGTCTTTTTGCAAGCCAAGATCCAAAAATATCACTTCAAAGACTAAACTTGTGTGTTGCTCTGATTTAACACGAAAGTGAAGTATCCACAAAAAAGTTCAGATCAGAGCAGATTTTCCAGACAGTTGACAGAAAGAAAAGATAAAGCAGCCACTCTGTGAATGAGCACTTGTAGGGGAAGTTCTTGCAGATGACACGCCACTGAAAGTTATCGGCAAATTAGAAATAGCAGAGAGTTCAAAGGAAACTAAGAAGTCACTCCAAATACTGAAAACCTAAGAGACAAGCAACATTTGCACTTGGACAATAGTATGCTATCCGATAACAATAATCTATGCAGATTATGCATCTAATATCTCATGTTTCCCTGATAGGACAATGTCTTAATCTAATAATACCACAAGAAAGCAGACTCTTGATGGGACTCAACTTCTTCAGCATGAAAGCAGAAACAAGGATGAGAGAAAGCCATAAAAGGTCAAGAAGATTCAACTTGAAGCATTATTCCTTTCATTTAGGAAATCACGCTATCATGCAGCACTCTTATGTAGAAATTAATCGGATACCGTCATGAAGATTCTCATTCAACTTAAAATTATATGCTGCACACTTCAACATTTACCTGCTTTAATTTGAGAAGGAAAAAGAAATAGCCTTCATATGCATCAGTAACTTCTATCATTCAAACAACCACAACTATTGGCAAAATTGCATGAGCCAGATATAGGAAGATGAAAGCATAAAAAGAAGGCCAACAAATCCAAGTTGATCGATTGGCATACTACATCAGAGTAAAGTTCTTTACATGCTGAAACTATATATGAAATTATGACCACATATAACCCAAGCAGAAGCTCTACATACCAAGTCTTATCATCCATTTGTTTTGCCATGCCATGAAATCAACCCAAAACTCTACCTTTCAGCCTTTAACCGATGTAGCATTCATCACAAGTTTGCTGCTGTAATTTTTCACTTTACAAACGCAGATATATGATGGTGAAATGCAGCTCCCAACTTGATGAGAACCACTGGTATGTACAAAATGTGCTATATGGTGAACTCGGCAATAAACTGAAGTTATAGAACCATTACAGCGGCAGAAGGGAGCGCCGAGCTCGGCCTTGTCTTGACAAGAAGAAGCTCCCACTAATGCTCGATAAAGATCTTTCTGTTTCCTTGCGCAAAGAAGCGCCACTGGAAAAATTCCATTGCTTTCTCCTGGTTCTATCATCCCACACTTCTTCTTCTAAGGAGGTTTTCTTCCTGTTATTGCTGAGATCCTCATCAGACTCCAATCCATATATAGAAGAAGAACAAGTAAATGAATCCATAGAAATCGATCGCCGGATGGGCTGAAACCCATTTTCCCCAATATCAACAGTCACTCGCTGCTCAGAGCTCGTGAGCGGGAAGACCACAGTTCGGTTTCCAGCTCCAAGTTCCAATCTTTCGACCTCCGGTTCCTCTTCCAAGGCGCCTTGAGCAGATTCTGATTGCCGGCCATTGATCTGCTCGCTGTCCGCTACGGCCGAGGAGAGATTATTGGGGTCCACGTGATCTGGGATAAACTCAGGGTGGGATGAAGGGGCGGAGGAGGAGGAGGAGGAGAAGGAGGAGGAGGAGGAAGAAGAAGAAGAAGAAGAAGAATGGGTACTTGTTCCAGTACCGCCACTGCTGGCTGCGGAGGTCGAGACTACGACGGGCGCACGGCACAGGGGGCAATTGACGTGGGATCGAAGCCAAGTGTCGATACAGCCGAGGTGGAAGGCGTGGCCGCACTTGGGAAGGAGGCGAACGAGCTCGTCCTCGCGGAACTCGGAGAGGCAAACAGCGCAGTCGGAGGCCGAGGCGCCGAGGACGCCATCCGCGGCCTTGTACGCCAACGCGGAGATGGCCCGGATGGTTGACTCGTCGAGGCCAACGGTCCTGATGTACCAGACATGGTGGATCACCTCGTCGCCGTCGCCGCCACCGTCCTCCTCAAGGGGTCCACCGGCGAGGGGTACGTCGGGGGCTGCCGTGCGGCGGTGGTGGCGGCGGCGAAAGACGAAGTAGGCGAGGACGAGAACGAGGACGGCGGCGGCGATGAGGAAGGCGGCGGAGATGGGGAGGGCGGGGAGGAGGGAGGAGTGGTGGAACCGGATGGTGGTCGGGGGGCCCGGGGAAGATGGAGGAGAGGGTGGCGGCGGGGGAGGGGTGCACAACTCCATGAATCCACATAAGGAGGAGGCGTTTGGCGCCCGAAAGAGGAGGCGATTAGGCCGGACGGCCATCACCGGCTTCGATTCCTCTCAACCCGCGCTTCTGCTCCTTGCAAGTCTCGCTGCAGTCAACAGAGCGCGGAAATCTACAGAGACAGAAGACATTAATCGGTTTGGGTAGCGAGAGGGACGCACAACAACTCGATGCAACCAAACCCGATACAGATCGCACTGCGTAATGAATTGCTCACCACCATACCGACAGCGACACGAATCTAATTCATTATGTGGTAAGCCAATTAGGCGTTATGGCCGACACCCACCAAATTAGGTGAATTGAAGAAGATAGCTTAATGCATTGTGATCTGAGTCTTATTAAGCCGGCTTTAATCATACTACAGATCGGAAATGGCATCGATCCAACCTAATAAATCATGAGTTTGAAAGCTCATTGATCCTCCAATTCCAATTCTAAATCTATTTTTAGAATTAATTAAGTTTGGATTAAGATATCCATTAATTAAGTTCTAAAGATACATTTAGCATAACACAATTACTACTTCGAATCCAGTTGGCAAATCACCTCTGACCGACCTTAATACCTGACTGATTAAAATTAATTCATAAGTAATTGGAATAAGATTTATATTTTTTTTCGAAAATTTGTGGGTTCACAATTTTTTTTTTTGGGACCACATTTATAAGATGGTTTGGTCGAAATTAACCCTATTATTATACTTAAAAATGAATTAAAATAAACTCGTTCATAGTATTCATCTAAAAAAGCATAATTTTTTTATAATTAATTATCTTAAAATTATCTAAAAATAAAAATATATATATTATTATTAATTGTTAGAATAATGTTCTGAAAACTTGAGATGGTTTGATTTAAGTTGACTCTCTTACACCTGAAAATGATATCTATTCATAGAATTTATATTAAAAAAATTATTTTTTTGATAATTAATTGTCATAAAATTATATATTTTTTTTAAAAAATATTATTAATGATGTTATAGTCATATCCTAGTAGAGGGGTAAAATTTTGAGATGGTATGGTCAAAGTTGACCTAATTATACTCTGAAATAAACTAAAATGCATATGCTTATAAAACAAAATTCAAACTTTTGATAATTAATTATTTTAAAATATTTTTTCAAAAAAAATATTACTGCTGATGTTAAAATAATATGATAGTAGACTGGTGAAAGTTTGAGATGATTTGGTTTATGTTGATACTATCACACTCGGAAATAAGCTAAAATACACTAATTTATCAAAAATAATCTAAATTTTGATGATAAATTATCTTTATTTTTTAAAAAAATAAATATATATTAATGATGTTAGAATAATATCTTAGTATATTGGTGAAAGTTTGATATGATTTGTTGAAGTTGAACCTATTAGACTCTAAAATAAATTAAAATATACTCATTTATAGAATCTATATAAAAAATCTAAATTTTGATAATTAATTATCATAAAATCATCTTAAAATATAAAATATATAACTAATTATGTTAAAATAATAACCTTGTAGATTAGTTAATGTTTGATATGATTTGGTTAAAGTTAACTATTTTATACTAGAAAATAAACTAAAACATACTCATTTATAGAACTTAATTAAAAAAATTAGATTTTAACAATTAATTATCCTAAAATTCTCTAAAAATATAGAAAATATTATTAATAATGTTATAATGAGATCCTAGTAGGATGGTGAAAGTTGACATAAATTACTACTTGAGCCTATTATACTCGAAAATAAATAAAAATAATAATCGTTCGCAAAACCTATACAATTGAGATTCTACAATCGACTATGGTTCAAATCAAATCCAGTATATTTTGGTGAAATATATTTAAAACACTTTTAACTTGTACATCGATATGATTACAATATTTATTCATATATTTAAAAATATTATAAATTTTAGAAATATTTTTAGAAGACAAAGACGAGAGGAGGAGGCAGGAGGTCGAAGAGGACACGAAAGATGAGAAGAAGAAGCATAAGGAAGTCGATGATGGAAAGATAAAAAGAGTGAGAGGAAACAAACGAGGAGGAGGGTGGTAAAAAAAAAAAGAATTTGATTCAAGCATTTTAAGATATCATTATTTTAGTCAAATTAGAGAATAATGACATCCGTAGGTAAAAATGAATAGGAGATGACATTTCCGTACAAACTCAAATAGTATATTTTTTTTTCCGATAAATTATCTAAATATCTTTACATTTATGACATAAAATGATAAATATATACTTACAGCCTGTCGTATAATTCAGTCATTTGAATGGGCATTCATAAGAAATACAACACCACAAAATGTGCTAAGATCACATGCATCACGTGAAGTCAATAGTTTTCCTACTCGTATAAGCACATGGCATACATTGACTACTAAAAATTAATCGAAATTTTTTTTTCTAATATTACTGAGACGGGATTGGATGTCATTATTTTATGTATGTAATATATTCACAATTTACGGTCGATTACATTATTGTTTTTTTCTTCCAACAACATGGCAACAATTGATCATGATGCTATTAGCGACCATCTTCATGTTACACCATCCTAAATAATTTTGGGTATTATTTATATGTGTTATTTAAACTATATATTTACATACGTCTTCCTTTAAAATCCATCACAACAAAGGCACAAGATCAAATGTGCTTCAGGCACATAAGTTCAAAAAACTCGACTCGCATGAGGAGAAATTTATTACGACGGAGGCGCAAAGTAAAATATGTTTGAGGCATGTGAGTAGGAAAAACTCGATCAGCATAAGGATAAATATACCACAGTAGAGGCAAAAGGTCAAATATGCCCAAGATGCATGAGTCATGAAAACCCAACCCATATAAAGAAAAATCTACCACAGTGAAAACGCAAGACCAAATGTGCCCGATGCATATGAGTTTGAAAACCCGAACCCACATGAGGATAAATCCACACGGTGGAGACATAAGGTAAAATATGTCTAATGCATATGAGTCAGGAAAACCTGACTTGCGTAAGGAGAAATATGCCATGGTATATGTATAAGGTCAAATGTGCCTAAGGTGCATGAGTCAAGAAAACCTAACCCAGGTGAAGGGAAATCCATCACATGGAGGCGCAAGACCAAATGTGCCCAAGGCATGTAAATTAGGAAAACCCGACTCACGAAAAAAGAATCTACTATAGTATAGTCATATGGCTAATGTAGCCAAGGCATATGAGTCGGGAAATCCAACCCGCATGAGGAGATCCCGAACGCACTTGTATCGGATGAACTAAACACCACACTTCAGACTCCTCTAGCAAGAGCCCCCTAAGCACACTTAGGGAAAGATAAATGATAGGGAATATACTATCAGTCAATCACCATCTGACACGTGGCCGCCACGTGAAGTCCTTGGTGGAAGGAAAAGATCCAAATCATCTCCCACCTATCTGCTCGTATGGACAAAAGTCTAAGAAAGGCAATATGAGGTTGTCTCCTCCCTTAGTCACCCATGTGGACAAAACACCAAGAAGAGGATGTTAGGGTGGTTAGAGGTTGTCCTCTTCTAAGGCCAGGTATAAAAGTGCATATCCAACGTAATAACAGGGGGTCTTTTCCTAACTTCTTTTGACTATTTATGCCTGCATTCATTTTAGGTTACTATTTGAGTATCGGAGGGTTCGTGTCAAGAAACCTCTCTCGACCTCGATGTTCATGCAGAAAACACCTCGAGAGCTCGATGCTTCCACTTCGGAGGCACATTGGACAATCTTACGAATATGGGTTCAGACTACGTCGGACTGACCAAAATGTCAATGACTTTTTTTTTCTGATAATATTAATTTTTAAAAAAATAATTTTTGTTCAACTTTGAACTTACTAAAAAAAGAAAAAAAAGTGAATTTTATTTTATAGTAGTTAGACCCAGATTTAAATCTTGGTAGAATCATTTAAATTTTTTTATTTCGATTTCACATATGTGGAATCTCGTCTAACGCTACCTAAGAAGGGCATTTTCATTCCATAATTTAGAACCAATGTGCGGAAATTAAAATCATATATGTAGTTTCTTGAAATCATGTAACCTTTAAATCCTGTTAATTTCACATCTTTATATTGGTCATCCACCTTAAATCTAGTATTTGGACTCAACTGAGTTGTTCATAGGCTTGCATATCATAGTTATATTTCTCTTGCCAAAATATATACGTCGCAATAATAATAATAATAATAATTCACAAAGTATCTCATCTCTTCCCACCTTTCCAATTCATACACTCGGTAGCATATATCAACAACCCATGTTAGATATATATAATATGCTACGTTACATTATATAGAAGACCCCAATTTAAAATTGGCGATGCTCGTTTTTGTGTCATAGTGGGTTTCCTACACCCACACGCTAACCCCACTATTATTATATAACCCAACCACATGTGAGTTGTCTTATGGTCATTAGGGTTCAGCCAAACTGCTGGAATATGCAGCTTTTGTCTATTCGATGCATTCAATTCCCGTCTTCTTCACATTAACTCCTCCTGTGAAAGGTTATGCTTTTGTAGGCCACACGTCGTCAGATCACTTATTGTAGGCTTCGCATGTGATTTGCATGCAGGAAAAAAAAAACAAAGATCCTACAGATCACAATGATTTTTGTAATTATTTTTCTAATATTTTAAATCTTACGTACATAGATAGCCTTGCAAGTGATCTTTTTTGGGTGACAGTCATTTTATAGTCAGGAATATAAGAATATTATGGATATCTTTGCATGATAAATGTTTTAAAATTCAAACTCATTTTTCAGACTTATGTATTTATTATTTATATAAGCCTTTTTCCCAAACATCTTTAATTTTTTTGAGAGATTTTTAATCATCAAATCATTATCTTCAGCGTCAATTATTGTGGCTGCTTCACTCGGTCAAACGTGTTGCATGTTGCATTATTGGTCTCCTTCTCCTTCTCCTTCTTGTATGTGTATAAGAGCTCTACACACATGACTGAAATATGCTCATCGAACATCCTACATCTTCCTGCGCCCAAGCGAAGAAGGCGATCGGGACAACAATGGCGGGTTCCCTCTTCTCTCCCATGCCCTCCAGCCCCCACTTCCCCGTCTACACCGCTCACCGTCGCCTCGCCGTTTCCTACCGCGTCATCGGCTTCTGCACCTTCTTCCATGCACACCGGGCGGTGGTTGTCCGGGCGGCGACGCAACCTCC